GGGAGTTTCTAAATAATATCTAACATAATTTGCATTTTCCATGGCCAAACAGATGCATAATATATACTTTTCTTTAATACTTTTTAAAGTATACAATTTACCTTTTAAATGTGGTTTTCTAAATGTTTACTAGACCAATCTTGTTTTGGGGAAAAAAGAAAGAAAAAAACTAAATAAAGCCATTAATAATATGATTTCAACTTATTTATAGTATCTCTCAATCAAGAACACAGCGGCCTTATCTCCAATTTTGCCAAAATGTCATTATAATGCTTACATTTATGGGTGAACGACTTCTACTGAAGTCAATTGAAAGTCTGTGTGGCACACTGTGAGTCACAAGGTCGTTGGGAGGAACATCTTTTACTATTTTGTTCTAACCACTGAGTAACCACATACTAACATGTTGTTTCATACTAGATTTATTCAGAAAAGGAAAGTCCCCTCTAAGCTGACAAAGGCTCTGTGTATGTTGAGTGTGTGAGGGTACGAATGGCAATGCAACATGAGGATCTGTCCAGTCCAATCCAATAGACAATAAACTACATTCAGTTGATTTTGTTTTTCACTGGCAAAGATATATACTTATGCATGTGGTGGTAGCGGTTATCTATCAAATTCCATATTTCTAATCCTATCTAGGAGGAGATATGTGGACCCAGGGCATGATGGGAGAATGCGGAAGTCCTGGTTCAGCTCTCAGTGCAGCTTCTCTTGTAGAATGACTGATGTTGATCAGACACCACAGTCACCACAGAGATGACCTCAGCTCGACAGATCATATTCCCAGTGTCTTATTAGAAAAGCACAAATCAAATCATGCAGCAGTTTCATATTAGCCTCAGTCAGAGCACAGCAGTAGACGAATATGTTTATGCGATGTGCAGAGCCTGTTTGCTCCAAAAGAGGATCAGGATTCACTTTAAGCTGTGTTGCAAGTAATGAATGTGAAGAAAATTTGATTCTTGAGGGCATTGAAAGACTTACAGAACTGTATTTGGATAACAATAATATTACAAACGTACAGCTGTCTGAGTTTTACCATAATAATAAAAAATAATGTGTTATGCTGCAGGACAGATACTTTACAGGTTGAGCTTTTGTGTGTAGATGGGACGTTAGAAAGACTTCAAGGTGATCTGGGAGGTTGCCGGGGGTTACGTTCTCTAAGTGCACTTTCTAGTTACGTTTAGAGTCCCTCTATTGTCCAATCTGAGGGTGGTTCACCTCTTGCCCAGGACTCTCTCCTGCCCCCAGCTCTGCACCTTGCACATATGGGTGGAACAGTTTAAGGACCATAACAACAGGATTCTTGCTGGTTGAATTCGAGGTAGTTGTAATGTTATCCTTCATGTCTGATTTATGGCCCAGTCTTCATGGAAGTATTGAGTGTGGTCTGTGAGCTGTGAAGTCCACATCAACACAGTGCAATGATGTATATAATCTGTGTTTACAGTACACAGACAGCAGATATTTGCACTCGCTGTCCTCCCACTGCTCCCACTGCTCCTCCTGATTTAGTTTTGGAATTTCACAACTTCATTTTTTGGACCATGTTCCATGTCTGTGTTACATCTCCGTGGACAATCCTCCTGGCCTTTTATGTCACCATTAATAGTATCCAAGAATAAAGCAAAAACAGCTTTGCTTTCTTGTCCGTGGTAATGAGAAGATATGAGATATCCACCTCAGTTTTCTCTTTAACTCTAGATTGCCAATAGAGGGCGCTGTTTATCATATTTGTTTACACTTTAGAAATGGCAAAGATATAACAATTCATAGTGTTCCCTGGTTCCAATGTCTTAAATAGTTACATGAATATGCCCTATTGAAAATGTTGTTTGCTTGACCTGTTACACCTTTTATTTTGTACAGGGCTGGACTGGGACAAAAAAACGGCCCGGGCATTTTTTCCTTATTAGCGGCCCAGGCAACTCAAAAGGTTCAAGGAGCCCTATTTGACAAAAAAAACAAAAAAAAAACAGCGTTGTATAAGACTCATATGAAGGTAACAGGGGCTTAAGCTGTATTAGCTACATTAGCTATATTAGCTATATTAGACTAATATCTAAATGACAAAGTAAAGGCTAAACACATAAAAACCATTCATGATTATCAAATGTGTATTTTCATTGCAGCGTGTCCTGGAGAGAATGACGCACCATGTGACAACTCTGCTTTAAGTTTAACCTTCTTGCAATTGTACAAATACAGTAAATAAATCTGCTTTTGGCTCTGAGTTCACCTGCATCACTGTCTGTTCATATCCATCACAGGCTGAAGTTTGCTGGAGCTGAATGTCCTTAATGGCCTTTTCTTTCACCGTCTTTGCGAAGGTTTTTGAAGTCTGAAAATAGGTGCTCTGACTTTATGATGAATGAATGTTTCAGTGAACAGTGTTTAAAGCTTCATTGTTCCTCCTGTTGCAACAAAACTTTTTATTACATCACAAACATGAAGCAGTCCTTCCTCATTGACTGAAAGCAAATGTTCATTCTCATTCTTAGTCCAGTCTTATCGACTCTCTTTATCTTTGGGATCCATGCGCACACACAGTTAAAATTGAATATTACCCATACAAGTTTTTGCAGCATTGAAAAACGTTAAGAATGTTTTTCCTCCTACAGAAACCACATTGAAACTAGAAATAAAATATAGCCCTCACACTCCATTTTCAGACATTTTTGAAAAGGCTCCAGGAGCCACTTTAGGGGCTAAAGGTTGCCGACCCCTGGTTTATACAGTATGTGGAAGCAAATACTGTGAGGATCAGGATCTCTCCAGTTTCAACAATAAAATACAGTACAATAGTCTATAGACTAAACAGAGTAATAAACATGTCTCAGAGTGAGGGAGGTGGGCAAAGACAATATTGTTTGTTACAGGGAGGAGAATTGGTAAAACATTCTGAAATGCATATTGTCAGCCATTGGCTGGCTCTAAATCTGTTTAATTTGTTCACACCATTTTACTTTTGAGCTCAAACATGAACTTTTAATGCAATGGAAAATTTAGGTACCCGAGCTTTAATTTCGAGAGGAGGGGAGACGCGGACTGTTTTCTGCAGCGGTGTATTTATTGGGTGCACAAATTACGAAAAGACATGCATGGTCCTGTGCACGTTTATGGTCGTGGGTATATGGTCACGTTGCGGCTACGCGCTCACCGTGTTGTGTTGTGAGCGGCTCCTGCGTCCAGCTCAGAGCCGCTGGATGCGGGAACACTGCGGCCGCTGAGGTGGTGGAATCCTGTTCGAGTACATACAGCAGGTGCCCCGCGGACACGCGCGCTCCCCTCAAACATTTTTCAACGGATTTACACTTTTCACAAACATGTTTTTTGTATGAGGCAAACAGACCGGCCCAAATATGGGCATCGGCCCTTCGGGCATTGCCCGGTACGCCCGATGGCCAGTCCAGCCCTGATTTTGTATACTCTACTATGTTTGAAAGGATAAGGCTTCATTCATAATCCAGCCCACGACATTGTCCAATCTGTCTCACTCCTACTGTTGGAGACAATCACACAGGCTTAACTTCTAGACAGACATAAATTCCCATGAGTGAAATAAATGTGAATAAAAAACTGTGTGGAGCATGTGGGATCCTTCAGTGAAACACGTCTGTGAGTCTGGTCCCATGGGGAAAATCTGTCTACGTTTGCAAAGTAACTTAATATTTTAATTCTGAAATGATATAATCTACAGTTGTTTTAATAATTTAGCCCCTGGCGTGTTGCAGAGACTGTAGTAAACTCTCATTATTCACAAGCGCGCATGAAAATCAAATCACAATCTGCCATAACTTACGCTTTTACCAGAGGGCAGCAATCCACATCACGCACAAATGTCAGACTGTCAATCAACTTTTTCAGAGCCACTATTTTCCACGGCTTTTACTTTTTACATAATATACTACTCAATTCAAGCCCACAGTACGATGAAAGCCCTCGACTTGTTTAGTTAAGTTTGTTCATGATAATAATTGTTGAAATATTGTTTGGGTTTGGGTTATAGGGTTAGTTGTTGGGTTCTTATAATTAATATTTTGAAATGTTCAACCTGGTTCCCTACTTTTTCCGACCGGGACACTGAGCCGGCTCAACAGCAACTCCTTTGTTGAACTTTAAGGAGATTTATGAAGCTTACATTAGCAATCAGCAGGAGTCACCAAGTTTAACTGTAGGCCCTAAAAACTAAACACAAAACTACAATAAACTAAATTATGGACAAAATGGAACATATTTTTGTCTTTGAATAGTTTTCTAATTAAAGCTATTTGGATGTTTTTGTTTCTATTGTAAAAACATTCTGCTCTACATGCTTATTTAGAGCACTCCGTCAATTTAGCCAATATGAAAAATTGGCTTTTAAACAATGAAACTTTTCTTATGTGCCGTGGATGCAAAAGTCCAGGTGCAAGTTTTTAAAGACCACAACCAAGACCACAACCAACATGATTTTTATTTGTTTTACAATAATATATTATTTGACAAGCCCCATTTTTCTTTCTTTTACTGTACTAACGACAAAATTATCGTCATTTTGCTTTGACTCTACATGTATATTACTGTCTATTACTGTGTATTACATTCATAAAAAATAACATGATTAGTAAATTCTTTATGTTTGTGGTTGTACAAACATGAAAACATTTGAAATAGCCATTGTGGGACAAATAAAGGATCTCTTTATGCAAACGTTGCAGTAACATTGGCACTTTTGCAGCCCACTGTAGTTCCATGTGTGCTAATGTAAATAATGTTTAACTAATGAATGATGCCAGGAGGAGAGTTTCACCTTGGCGCAGTGAAAGAATGCCTGCGCGTACACAAGCTTGTTTTTGTGAGAAGCCGATTATCCAAAGCAACGGGGGCATTTAGGAGAACAGGCTCTGCAATAGGCTGCACTTGTTCCATATTTAAATATGTGCTTCTAAAAGCTCTTCAGCTTTTTGCTGAGGCATCAACTACAGGAAGATTTTTTGTGTAATTTGTCAAAAATGGAAAGTCTTTGGATGCCGTTAGAGTGTGCCTGTAGGATTCTAGGAGTGTCTACAGCAACAGGTATTTCCTTTTTCTTTTTGGGGGAAAGAAGTTCAAAATACACAGAAATACTATATTGTATGCATTGTAACCAAATGTAATGGTTTCATGTCAGGTTTGAGTTTTCTGAAACTATTCGATGACGATGAGATTCATCGTTTAAATAGTTTCTTCTGTTTTGAAGAGTTAATTTGCAAAAATGGATATCTGTTGAAATGTGTCAAAAAGGTGTATTCCTCTAGCTACAACATGCTTGTTATTAGCAGGCAATTTGAAAGAATTTGCCCAAGAAGGGGTGGCACTTTATCTTTCTGGCACTAAAATAGTATTATTTTTCAGTGAAAGCGATCAGCTTCCTAATTTTCACATACGTTTTTATACACATGCCTGCCTGGTGCCACGGTCTCCAAATATCTTGGCTGTTATTATGTAAACTGAATCATAGCTTGGGTTTTGTCATTCTGTGAAGGATATTAAGCATCAGGAATGAAAAAGAAAAAAATAAATGAGGTTAGATGTGGGCCAGCTGCTGCCCGACCTCTCAGATCATCCAAACATGTTATTTATGATGAATGAAGTATGAAGTTCATTGTGCCGACTTCTATCTTACACAACTTGCTGTTTTTGCTTCTCTGGTGCCGTTCTCTCTCAGGGACGCACACTGCACTCATCTTTCCAACGCACATTAAATCACGGTGGGGAAATTGCTCGCTGGTTAATGCTTCTTTTCCATTGAAACGTGGGATCTGTTAAAATCAAAACATGTGCAGACACTTAGTTTGACTGATCGACACATTTTTCACCCAGAAACATCAATGACAAGCTGTTGTTCATTCACACCTTTACAGAACCATTTGGGAATATGCTCGAATGTGCGGAGAACTTTGCTGAACTTTCTTTTTGTGACTCAATCTAAGAAAAATGTGGCATAGTAAATGGCACGTTTTCTATTTCAGAATGATGGAACATGCAAACCATCACCATAGTGATGAACAGAACAAAACATTAAATATTTTGAATGGGGAAAGGGTCCTCAACATTTTGTGAAATCAGACATGAGTGTCTGTGACCGTAAAACATAATTCAGATTCATTTGCCATTTGTAGTAAAACCACATAGTATCACATGTGCAAAAGTCCCCCAGTGCGCACCAGATAATTACAGAAATAAAACAAGCTAAAAAGTGCAGGAAACAATTGTCACTGCAAAACCAATCAACAAAAACAGTTTAGAAAAAAACAAGTTTAAGATCAATACTGTGCTTTGATTAAACAGAAAGAAGCTGTTAGTATTTCAAGATGTCCTGCATCTCAACGAACAATATTTTTGTTCGTTATGATAGTGAAGAAGCTGGAACATGGCTTTTCCAGGGTGTCAGATCGTAGAAGCTAAGGAGGTCAGGCCTGGTTAAGTCAATGATGGGAAACCACTGTGAAAACTAGATGCAAAAGTGTGAGGGCTGCGACTCAAGTGCAAACTGTTGTTGTGGCACATAGCAAGACATTTCACCCATATTCCCCATATTTTTTCCCATAAGCACCATGGCAGCTGGAGCTACAATAACAGTTTATCACCAGAGCTTGTGGAGGTAATGTTCAATAAGCGCACGGGAAAAAACTGATGCATCGATATTATTATGAATTTGAATACCTTAATTACTCTTTGGCTGTGGTCTGAAGAATTGCTGTTGCTGTATAGTGTTGTTAATTCAGTCAGATTTTGCAGAAGGCCGCGTCTGGGACCTCCGTCTGTCTCTCTTGATGCGCGCTGGTCTGTCCCATTGCCTTGCAGATAATCCTTGTATTTAATTTCTATAGTCAGACATGTATGTATGTTAATATATGCAGCAGAGCTAATATGAGGCGTTAATACCCCTCACACATAAACTACCAGAAAACAGGCTGCAGCCACATTCCCTGTTTCACTCTGGCAGATTTAATCTCAGATTCCTGTAAACACAACAGAGAGCACACAGATTGTTTCCATGTGCACGGACTGGGACACGTTCTTAACCTTGTAGGGAAATAGGTGTTCTGTTCTGACAGTATGTAGGATGACTATTAGTTGTTATTGTTCTTGGAATAATGTAGTTATCGTAAACTTAAAAGCCATTTCAGGACTTCAGTTCAGTTAAACTTTACAGGGATGTACAGGCTACTTGACTGTGCATTTAATCACAGCAGTAGATATGCCACAGCCAGCCCTTCTTTTCAGTGGGTGTAAACGTAATGCATGACGTCAGATGGTGGAACACTGTGATTAAGGTTATATATACATAGAATACATATATGAATGTTTATTTAAATGAGTCCCAAAACAAGGGAAAAGGTCTATGTCTATGTTTTAATCATTTCGTTTTCCATAATAAATAAGAAGTCAACAAACTGACTATCAAAACCAGCACAGAAGTAGCTGATTGAATGGATAATTGACCATAAACAACTGTCTGATGAATACTTTTATGCTTTTAATCCGGTAATGGGAACTGGTTAAAGTGGACTTCCTTGCCTCCAGGCTCGTGGGCTTCTACTTGTTGACATGGTATTTTAGGAAGTGTATTTAAAATATCTTTCACTTGTTAAAACTGTTCACTGGCCACTGCTATGTTAATTACAACCAGGGCCAAACCTTTTACCTCAATACTATGACATAGAAGAAAACTATTACCCTACGTTTAAAAACAACATGACGTCTTGGGTATTTATGGTGCTGCCTGCGTCATTATCAGGATTTCCCTATAAACAGTCGCGTAAGGTCAACGCTGTACTTATGACTAAAGACTGACACCTGCTGGACAAATCTGAATAGAATTTTGTCTCTTTTCCTTTCAGTATTGTGTGGAGTTGGGATTGAGACAATGCATCAAGGACATTTCACCAGCCTTGGCATCTACCTACTGTAAGCCACTGTGGATGATCATGTTATGTTTGTATAATTATTGTGCACATAATTAGCATTTGATAAATAATAATAATAATAATAAATCGACAAATGGTGACCTTTACTTTTTTGGAATTTGGCCAATATCCCACCGGAAAACCTCCCAAAGGAAATGCATGTTTTTTCAACCAGTTCTAAAGACAATGAATAGAAGTGTGAGAGTCGAAGGAAAATTACGAAACTATTTTATACATTTCCATTGCCTATGTCTGTGCCAAAACTGATGCCATACTAGAAACTGTTGACATTTCTGGTTTGGTTGTGCAGCGTCTCATCAGTTGGGATCATGTTATTTGAGATGGCCTTCTTTCTGGACACTCTTTTGGTCACATGTCTGATGTGAGTGCCCCCAAACCAAATTTTGTTATCACACAAATAATTATGTTGTGTCCCTTTGAACATTTGTGCTGTTTTATGCCCAGCTGTCCCCCAGACTGGCAGATTTTTCTCCTGTGGGGTAAAATGGCTCGTGTTGGAGGGTTCCATAAGTTCCTTTATTACTCCATAATGTCTGTAGTCTGCTTCCTGCATCCTGTGCTGGTCTGGCATGCAACAATACCAGGTACAGCGCTTGGAAATTATTCCCTTTTATTAGTCTGTGGCATAGACTAGCAGACTCTATGCCATTATTATTATTATTTTGAATTATTTTCTTGAAGTCTGTCGCATTAAAGGTGGGGTTCCTAATTTTCAACCAGAGGGAGGGAGATAATTAAAACCATCTTGTTCCTGTAGCTCCCCCAAAGCCTTTACATTAGTCAATCAGCTATTCCTTAAAGTACATTTTTTTGTGATACCGTTCAAATGTTCACATTTTAGATTAAGCTAATGTGTGTCTGGAATATTTCTTGTCACAAATCTTGTTGTTGTATATCTTCTGACATACATAATCATAGACCTAGAGTTAGGTACCCAGTCTTTAGTAGTATATCACCGTTGCTAAGCATATTGTAGCAGACAGTTTACTACATGAAGACAGTGCTATAACGGTACATAATAATGAAACTAACTAAGGGCCTCATTTATCTTTTCAGGTGCTAAACTGCAGGTGAAAATGAAAACAGATTTAGTTTTATAGGACATGTGCATGATACATGAGTTTGCCCCAATTACATGATGTATTGATTCAGAAAGTTTTGATAACACATGAACATATTGAAACTGCTTAATTCAATTGAAGCCAGTACAATACAGTGGAATAATCTTCCATGTGTTCATTTCTTTAAAAAGCACCTGAAAGCACCTGAAAATATTAGTCATATTTTAGTCATATTGTTCCATCTGTAGCTATAAACATATACATTTTACATAGAAAAAAGTAAGCAAGAATCGTTCCACTTTAAAAAGAGATGGATGATAAATTAATATTGAGACCAAAGATATCTTTTGTTCTATTCATGTAATAATAATATGAATATTGAATAATGGGCAGATACATGTAATTATTTCTGACCGACCTATGTAGAAATATTTCTAAACCAAGTCTATTTCAAGGTATCCTTATACTTTCTGTTCCAGGAACGATGCTTCTGGTCACCGGCTTTTTCAACTTTATTCTAAGCAAGAAACCCAAAGTTCCTGTAGATCAACAGGAGAGCGACCAAAGCCTGACCACTGTGTGCATCACGGAAAAAACAGACAAATCGTTCTCTTTTCTTAAGCTGGTGTGGAGAAGCAGGAAGGAGGATCGTCTGGCTCTGACAAACAGTGACGATGAGGAGGACCTCTGCGAGGCAGACGCCGGACTTCAGGTCCTGTCAAAGCCCAAACAGAAAAGGAGGGACTGGAGGCTCGTGTGTTTGCAGGGGCCAGAGGAGTGTGTGGAGCGAGAGATGGAGGAGATGGACGCGTCATGTGGCACAAGCTCAGACAGAGCTCCCATGATCACAGACTGACACTTCCTCTTTACAGACAAACTAAGAATACTCTGTTCAACCAACCTGACTCATGCTTCAAAGAGTCTCTAACAGCTGTGCTGGTGATGGACCGCTGTGTGTATTATTTATCATTAAACTTTCCAGTATGTTACTTCACATGGCTAAGTTATATTTGTTATAAGTTATATTCATGGAGAGGCGAGTCTTATCACTGTAAAGTTTTATTTAGCCACAAAAATCATCAATATAAAACTTATCTGATGAAGATGTGTTATCGCTTTGCTTGAAAGCAGGTCTACCCATTTTAAACATAATTGAATTTATGTAAATAGACAGTAAATGTGTTAAGTATGTAAATGAGTTATTTAACTTTGTATTGATCTAAAGTATATCTATTATGTTTTATCAACAGAGTAAATGCTTTTAGCATGATTGAAAAGCCCCAATCTTGTTGCCACATCATGCATAATTTATGAAGAATTAAATTAGATCAATTCTTTCGGTGGAGGAGTGTTTGTTCGCTGGATCTTCAGTTGTGGTCACGCCTCTTCTTTGTGCGTTGTGTGAGAGCGGTGACCATGGCAACGTGAGAGAGCAAGGAGCAAGGTGAAAATGGTGATAAGACATTCACATATTAGGTTTTTGCATTAAGGCTGAGGAACCTAACATTCAAAGCACAAGTATTTTAGCAGTATAATCCATCGACCTTGTTCCTTACTCCCAAAACAGTTGCTTTATCACTTTTAACTTCTGTCAGATCTTTAGATCAGCTTTTTTTGTGAAATATGAAAAAGAAGATCACCCTCATTCAGCTCTCAGCCCAAAAGTTTATGGTCTTTTTTTTTATGTATGAAAAAGATAGAACGTTTTATAATATAGATAGTATGTTGTGGTCAAATTAGTTCACATTTTGCATTTGTATGATCATTTTTAGGACAAATGTGTGTTTATGAAAAAAGACCAAGCTTTTATGATTCCTGATACATAGACTAAATGTCACTAAATGTTTAGTAATGCGGTTCCTTTTTCCATAGATTTTGCTCACTATGCCACAGACATAATTTTCTAGTATCCAAATATACTGTGGGTGTGTATTTTCTTGTTTTGTATATTAAAGTGTGCAAAAGCGTACTTACAAAACCCTGGATATTGAGAGTATAATGCTTGAAATATTGCACCCCTTTCATACTTGCACCTCGAGTGCACCCCACACCATTCTCACTTCAAGTCATAAATCAATATTTTGTTCCTATCAAAACAAAATGTATTTCATTTCCCTTTGTTCCGCAGACTGCAGACACAGTGTAGCCTCCAGTCTCTCTTCAACAGCCAAGCTATAAAAATGAGATCAATATAACATCAAATCAACCATTTCATAAAAGAACTCGCAGAGGGACTCTCCAGACATGTTCACAAAGGCATGAGGAGAGCCCATATGTTGAACAAGTAGGTTATTCTCTGAGGGTGACACAAATTCAAATAATGCCCCTGCAGCTATAGGCGCTTCTGAACTGGTGTCCATGATATGTGTTAGTGTGTGACATTGAGACATGTGAAGTCAGTCAGGAGGAAAGCCATGTCGTTTATAACAGAGGAAACACTGATCTTGTCCATCTTTGCAAATATACCATCGTTGTAGAGCTGCACTAATTAGACAGCTGGGTTTGGTTCATTTGAAATTTACCATTGACCAAAAAGCATGTATTCAGGATTTTTTTCTGACTACTTCCATAAAGACCCAAGTTTAAAATTGCATAATCCTCAGAAGAAGGGAAGTGAATCAGCTGTTGGAGGGACTGACTTCCTCTGTACATTTTAGAGCCATCAATCTTACTCATTAGGCTACAGAAAGGAAAAGAGACAGGAAAAGGCTTCTGAGTGAATGTGAATCCACCCAACAATAGTTTCCTATATAGGCCAAGTTCAGGTGCAAAAACAGGATGACAGAAATATTCACAATGACTTGATTGTTAAGAAGTGGGAAACTGTCTTCTGAGGTGTGTGATAATAATTGTTTTGATTCTATAAAACAAACACACCAGCGTAAAGATATCAGTATTTCTGTATAACTAAATTGTTAAGATTAAGTGGAAACATAAAGAGACCCATATGAGTGTAAGCCCCGCCTACGCTCAAAGCTGATTGGTTTACACACATCATCGCGGACTTCTGTTGGATGTCCAGCCCGTCATGTTTTATCCATTCAAGTGTGAATGCCGTACTGCTAAAGGGGGCATGAGGACCGCTGCAGACCGCGTCCCTGCGATAGAAGTCCGAAGACTGTAGAAAAGAGACGCGCAAGGAAAACCTGTCTGCTATGGTAAGAGAGTTTTGACTTTTGACCTGAAGGGATTCCGTCTGTGTATGCCTATTGTGCTGCTTTGGATTACCTCAAATTGGTGTTAAACTTGGACGTTTGGCAGAACCGGTCCCTGAGAGTTTGGGGGTTTTGTTGTTGAAGCGTCCGGACAGATTTTACGCATGGGAACTGGACTGGATGTGTGTGAACGCAGCTGCGAGTGGAGGTGGGCGGTAATTGGACTGAATCTCGCCGTGAGGATCAAACCAATTAGCTGACGTGCTCTGGAGATTCTTTGTCCACGTTGGGAGCGAGTTTGCACAAAGCCCCAAAACATAGACAGAAAGGCGGACGCGATATTCTGACGGTGCCATGCGTAATGAATGCATTTGACGGGCATTTGTTGAATAATTGATTGTAATGGTGACAGACTGGAAACCGTTACGTTATGGAATATTCATGCTACCATTATGGATTATAAATATGTATGAGTGTCAGACTGACCATTCCATTATTCACCTGTTTTATCAGCCTCTGAGTGCAACTGTGGGTAGACCATGGCTGACTGAGTTCACTAAGAGAAAATGGAATTGCCTTTAATGTAAGTGATTCAAATGGTGAAAATAATTCGAATCAACGTTTCCAGACTGAACAGATTACCGACTGCATTAGTTTATCTGAAGGTGCATTCTCTACCTTTTCGTATCCCCATTCATCCAAGATTGGTCAAGTGAACTTTGTCACATTCTAAGATTCCTTAATCTAAATTATGTGAATTCGGATACAGTCTGTCTGATAAATAGATGTATTATATTATTATCTGCAACCTGACAGTCCAAACCTAACAAATGCATTCAATAATTGTAAATTACGTTTACATTGCGTTCGTACAGTTCGTAGACATTGGGGTAATAATAACATGATTTTAATGTGAATACCGTTTCTTTCTCTACATCTTGTAATTTGTCCACTACCCTTCTCAACTAAAATTTAAGTTGTTTTTATAAAGTTGCATTACTCAAAATGGCCAAAAGATGGCATCATTGTGACCTTATTCCATAGGTTCTTTGAACCACACCATCTTTCATCCTTCTACATTATGTGTAGTCATTGGTCCCTTACCTTTTCAACAAGACTCCTTAGATTAGTAACTTTTAGTTAAATGTATTCTTGTATAGCCCTAAATCACAACAGTAGTGATCTCGGAGGACTTTACACAACCGTTGAATTCGCCAACATCAAATAGTTTAAACACAGGAAATCAAATAGAAAAAACATTGGGGTTGGTCCATAAGGGGCAGATGACCAATGTCCATAAGTGTTGATAAATGTCCATAGATGTTGTTGAATGTGGTGTCCTGGATCATTACCGCTGTCTAAGACTCTAAACTGACCCTCCTACATCTGCAAGGAGAAACTCTGAAACCTCAGGGAGGTCCTCATTGATAGAGGGATCTGCTTCTCACGGACAGACGGGCTGTAGATCCAGGACTCAAGCAACAGAACGAGGACAAAGGCCACTCGGTGCAGGACTCAGGCTGCAGAACGAGGGCAGACGTGATACCGGACTGGTACAGCTCCCATGCGGGGAGGGGGTGCATCCCACAAGATGGGCCGGGCAGGGCAGTCCACAAGTGCAGTTGGAAGAGGCTGGGTTCAGGGGTCCCATCATTACGCCATTTCTGGGTGAAAAGCAATGAACAGACCACAGTCGAAATCATAATGACAGATACGGTAGGAAGGAGGAGAGGATAGTGCTCAAGTTACTATACTTCCCCCGGTAAACTTGCTGCCTTAGTTTACATTGAGCCCGTTATAATAAATTAAGGGTGTTCTCATCCCAAACCAGCTATAAACTATACTACTATAACTTGTAAACATTGTTTTGTTCAAGGCAAACACTGTTATGCTCAAGGCAAACAGTGACTGTAGAGTCGGATCAATAATGTGCCGTGAATAAAGAGCAGTTGAACAACAACCTGACGCAGAAATGAAGCAAACCGCTTTTGAATTCTAAATTCCCTTTTTAAGATGATGAATAAAGCAGTGTTTTTCAACCTTTTTTGAGCCAAGGCACACTTTTTTCACTGAAAAAATCTTGCGGCACACCTCCAGGAGAAAATGTAAAAATGTATACAGTACTAATGTAAAAAAATATATACTGTACAAACTCTGTGTGATATATAAAGTATATCTTATCTTATCTTATAATGTATACAGTATACTCTGTAGATTATATTCACAATATACAGTTATTCTCATCAAAATGCTTAAGTCTAGGCCTTGACATTAAGCTTTATTTAATATTTCTCGATACAATTAACAAGAGTTTGGGAATAAAGTGGCACTAACTGTGTGGAAAAAAACTAAGAAAATCCACTCTCTGCCCAAATAGTCAAATAATAACTCACACAAAGAACATGCATTGTTAGTGCATGGGAAAAATGTAGGTATCCGAGCTTTAAATTCAGGAGTTTTGGATGAGGGACACGGGAGGTCCTGATTCTGAACGCGAGTCCATGGTTCTGTCCGGTCCGCATGTCTATGGTTCTGTCCACTCGACTATGGTCTGCGCTCAGTACCCAGTTCAGAAGTGCGTTCGCGAGAGCTGTTGTACAAAAATTGTACATTTCATAGTTAAACCACTACAACGCGGCCACAGCTGCCCCGGGGCAGAGCGGAGGATGTTAATCCTGTTCAGAAACGGCATAATTCATTTTCAAAAACGTCTCTATCACTTTCACTTCTCACTCGCCACAAAGCTCTTGTCTCGCTCCCTCCCACATTTGTTGGTCGCATCCAATTTGACCTTTCTCGCCACAATGCTGACCTGTTACAGCCTGTGGTCGCATCCAATTTTTCAGTTTCAAAGTACTTAGCTATCTGCTGCCATCTACTGATTTGAAAAAGTATTACATGGTTACTCCACAGTTCAAAACAAGTCACCGCTCGTCAACAGCGAATGCAGTTATTTTTAGACAAAGTAGACGATTTTCTCACTGCACACCAGACAATATCATACGGCACACTAGTGTGCCGCGGCACAGTGGTTGAAAAACACTGGAATAAAGAATGCTTTCAAGCTGATATTAAACACAGATCTAGAGGGTTCTTAAATGACTTTTTCCTAATTATTAACCAAAGTGATAATATTGCTCAATCTTCCCCCTGCAGTTCACTTCACTTGGATTAGAGTAGAGATATACAGGAAAGTCCCTTATCACAGCTGACACAATGGGAGTCCTATCTGACCACTTTGCTTTCACTTTCCAAATGAGTTTCCCAGATATTTTGGAGATACTCAACCTTTAATATATTTGGTTCAATAACAAGCAGGTTGGTGCATGTCTCGTTCTTTCTGTCCAGACACGATTGATAAGGGTGTAGCAAAGAGAGTGAAAGTGGGTTACAGTCTTCTCTGGCCTGTCCCATCACATACCTCTGTCACGCTTGGTTTGAGATCGTTCACATCACCAGACACCCATTTATAAACTATCAACACAAATATAGGTAGGCACTCAGAAATCATGGCGTGCTGCTGTATAGAAAATACTCATCCATGTATTGTTTGTGTGTCTTTGTGTTTGATATGTTTGCATTGTGTCTGTTGCTGAGTCACATCTAATACCATAACATCGGTCTATGGAGTGAACCCATGTCCTCCTAACAGAAACAAAAGCATTCCCATTTAAATATGCACTTGCAACATTACTAGTAGTATTAGAAATTTCATTATAAAAGTTACATAGTCCACAACATAATCGCAATGCTGTTTTCCACACTTTTATTACAAATGTACAAAATAAATATCAAAGATTGTCAGCAGTCTAGTCTACATATACATAGTCACGTACAATCCATAAGCCACCAGGGCATCCATTTCAATCAGTCCAATAAAATATGCTTGTCTTCCAATGCAGTGGACGACAACATGAGGATGAAATAAACCACAAAATAGTTTGGTTTGACAGCTCCACCAGTCCTTGAAGTGGCTAGAGCACAAATCTCCCTTTGCAGTAGTGATGTTTACTGGGAAGTGGAGGTCGACCCGCTGTGCTGCTGCTGATCCTGGTGCCTTTGTCGTAGCCTCTGGTGATGCCCTTTTGTTCGCTTCCTATTCCTCCTGAGGCAGAGTTTCACATTTCGACCGAGCTTATGAGCCCTGCGGGAAAGAAAAGCGCAAGTTTATAGGCACGGCAAAGCTTTGAGATTGAAAATTAAATGGATAAATGTTCAGAAGAAGTAACCCAAATTGAGTGATGTGAGAAAGTGGTGGTTTATGAAATGATCCTTTTTATAAATATTGTCATTCCAAACCTCATTTCTGAATTGCCGCTGTATAATGTTCGAACTCGTGTTACCAAATGTTTGTTCAAGCCTTCACTGCTGCGTTGTTATTTAAGAAACCAGTTTGACCACATGCGGTTATGATTTACTGGAAATCTACCCTTGGCACATAATATTGTACAAAGCTTTAGTAGCTATATTCCAAAACTCACCTATTCCAGCATCGGGTCAGCTGTTTTCCCATGCGACCCTCTGGACTTATGCACACAGGTACATTGTTCCTCTTCATTGTCACACTACAAATTACATTGATTCTTAAAGTCTTGTATTTAAACACACAATTGAATGTACATACAGTAGTTGATACTTACATGACTGTAATCTTATCACAGCTGGGGCTCTTGGGGTACACAGACAGCTCTTTAAGGGGACCTCTGACTCCTACTTGAGTTTTTGGACACAGACATCGTCCCGGGACAAACGTGCTGCCAGACTGTCTCACTGCACAAACACAGACACGTAACGAGATTATTGAGGATCACAAACAGACGGAACTACATGCTTACATTATTGCACAAAGACAAATGGCTTGCACTCATCTCTGGAAAAAAGGTGGTGATGTTATTACCTGAAAGCAGCGTGAGCAGAAGAAGCAGAAAGACACTTCGACAAAGTGATCTAGGATACAGCTCCATTGTGATGTGGGACAAGCACTAACTTAGCCCCGGAGACACACGTGAAGCTGCTTTATACCCAGGCTCCTCCCCCGCACTTTGAAGCCACTGGGCTTTCCAAAAGAAAGTCCCCGTACCACTCTCCCTCTTAAAATGAAGTCAGAGGATCAGGGATGATGCATGGATCATCTGAAAAAATATGCCAGAAATAACTGGAGGACACTTAAAGCAGATTGTGTTGCCAAATGTGCTTCCTGTTAGTATTGATAAATCGGTGAAAAGACCTTCAAATATGTCCTTCTATTGTAAATATGAGTGTGTGGTTCTGTGTGGAGGGTGTGCACTTCGTCATTGAAAACAAGGATCTGTCGCTGGCACGGAGCCCACAGTACCATGTGATTTCCTATAATTCTCTGTTGTACTTAATGAAGTCGTTTCTCTCATTTGTGCTCAGGCAGTTTTTTTTGATAAAAAATATCAAACTTGTTTAGCTTGATAATAGATGCAATTTACCCGTTTTTAGAAACGGCAATCAGACAGTGTAGCCATAAACACACGGTGTCTGCGCTCAGTCGCTGTTTTATACACACAGTTTGACATGTTGCTCTGGTCATTTGTTCACTTTAGTGAATAAATCAAGTTTAGTGTGGTATATGGCCAGAGAAAAGATGTGGCAAACAGGCCAAATTAGGTTAGATTACAGGTGAACTGTAAAACTTTGTTACACCTTTTTGCATGAAAAATCAATCTTTTATCATGTGCTTATTTGTATAATGAGACTTACCTTTTTGATTGCAGGGTTTATGTGAAAATGGGTGAGCAGCAGACATGTGTGAGACTCAGTGAGGAAAAACTCATTCCAAGGTAAAGGCTAAACGTTATCACTATTTATCATAGTTTTTCTGTAAACAATGTCTTTATGAACTTTGTTTTTAGAGCTGACATTCTGTCACTTCTTCGAACCTACAACTGTTACCACGAAGGCAAAAACTTCCAGCTGAGAAATCGAGAGGTAAGAACGTAATCTAGAATTAAATATCACCTGATTAAGAACAAAAACAAAAAAATGTTACAATCTATTTTGCATTTGTCTAATGGCTTCATTTAACATCTAGTTTAAAGGATGAACTAAACTAAAAGCATACATTTAGGTTATTGAAGTGTAAAGTTAAAAAGTAGTGTATGTAGTAGTTCTAACAGATGTGATTTTAGTCTCAGTTGCCTGTGTGGACAACATCTGAAAGCTGCCTGAAATGCCTACAAGGCCTCCATAAGAGCCCCGGACCATGCCTTGGCATTGGTCTATTCTAGAACAAATTTGATGGATTGTTATTCTTCCCTTTGTGAAACTGTGCGTTGCAGGTCGATAAAATAGGTCAGTCTTTTTAACCCAGTTAAAGCATACATTTGAGTGACATGCTGCGTCGGAAGCTCAGAGATGTAGAAATGTGATTTCTGAGCCTGATTGCAAACTCAGGAATGAAAGTAGTATTTGGTGAAAAAAAGAAAGCCCCATTATTTTTCAACAGTCCAATGGAAACATTATGCCAAAGGCTTGCCAAACACATAGAATGTTTTACTGTTGTGGTTGAGCTGCAAAGGTGTTTGCTGCAATGCGGTGATTTGTTACATTCTTATGGTATGGGTTTTATGGTCTGGAGTTTCCCTTTGTGTTTCTCTCACTGGACACTACTGTGACTGTGGCTCTGTGTAAATGAAGGAAAAACTGGTCATGATGTTTTGAGTCCAACTGTACACACTCACTCTGGTCATTGTGGGAAATTCCCATGTGAATAACTCTCTTCATGCTACATACATGTACGGTACATGCAATGTAAAGACAGCATGTTAGGTGATGGAGAAGGACAATATGTGTTTTACGTGTATAGTTGCAAATCCATGAGGCAGTCCCCTGATGTTAGTTATAGGTCATGAGGGCCCCCATTGTGGTATTAGGGTCTTGTGTCATCACTTAATCTTGCGACAACCACAATGATGGAGACAATTTGGGTCAAGACACAGGAAATACTTTAACCATTTGGCATTTTGTATTGAGGTTGGGAGGGTGGTGGTCTGAATGTGGGTTTACTGGATCAATGTTTTACTCTAATCCCATATAACAAGCATCAACCCAACAGCAATTCCCTTTTACAGGAAATCTGATCATACGCATGTCTCTCTCGCTCTCTCATTGTTTAACATAAAATATCTGTACGTTCGCAAAGAAAATGTACAAACCATAAACATTGAGGTCCTTAATATATAGTTTTATCCATTCGTTGTTGGGGATAAGTCGATTTTGTAATCGTCACGACAGGTCTTATAAACTATTTGTTATGTCCCTAAACCTTTTTCACAATCATCAATGAACTGATTATAATGGACGGCTCTAGATATATCGCATAGACTGTAGTATATCGGTTGAGAAAAACTAATCTAGGCCATTCCGAGATCAATTAGGGGATCATGTTTATATTTTCACTGAGCCATGTTTCGAGGACAAAGAGTTCACTCATCAGTGACTCATGGTCTTGGCCTCTTTCCCGATCCACAGCATGGGAAACCAAAGTGTGGCTTAAATACTTGTGTGAAATAGAGACATAAAGCGAGGTAAGCAGTGGACTATATTTTTCACAATGTACTTTTTTAAGTTTAAATTAACTGGGATCAAATTATTTTCATTGCTTGAATCCGATCCAAGTTATGTTTTGTACTTTACTACATGGGACACGAAGCAACACTTTCACACAAGAATTTATTTAAAAAATTGTATTATAATATTTACTCTGCTGCTGTGTCTACCTTGTGTCACCAGATGATAGTGGTTGGTACTATTTTGAATCAGGAAAATAATGTACCCAAGACAAGGTCCAAAGATTTTGTGGTTCTTTAATTTCCGACTGCCTCTAGAGAAAGACAGCATTAATTCAGGTATTTTTGGCTTTTTCTTTTCTTTCTATCTAACAATGTTATTCAGTTCACATAAAATTAAAATAAACACGTCATTCTCAAAAATAAGACAAGACAAGACAACAGTAGTGGACTACAAAACAACTGGCGTAGGCTCACTATAATAAACAAAATAAATACATGTAAAATGTTCATTTATAGAATGGAAATGAGAATATCAGTTAACAATCTGCACTCACTTTCAGTCTGGTAGGAACACAGCTCAAACCAAATCCAGAGCAACTGAGAATATAACAGTGGTCTTTCTCCCCTCTGCATAAAGCAAATAGTGAGTACATTTCATGAATAACCACAAAAATAAACATGTAGCGTTAGTTAACTAACATAGTGATCTGTCAACTCACGCCAAAACGTTGACCAACGCAGGTCTGACAGTGTTACGTATATGCCTTCTACCAACACCAGATCTACAGATATATAGAGCAGAAATCATCAGATATAATGCAGTAGATATACAAAAAGATTATTTTATCATTAAATCCTTTTTTGTTATCTCTGTTTACCGTTTTTGGTGCCACAACTTGCCAGCGCACCATCCAACGTCTCTCAAGGCGTTGCCAGAGTAACGTCTCACGTGCAGCACCTGACACCTCCCAACCACACGCGCTGTAACAGCACCCTCTACTGGCCAAACCGGGGACAGCATCTGCCGTTCGTCCTATTATTATTTGACCCGGCTACACTTGTATGTTGTCCTATTTTCAGATAGGACGAAGGAACGAAGAACTCATGTAAACACAGTCAGGTTCTATCTTGGCTGTTTTTACACTGTACTCCACGAGAGGGTAGCACCGTATTATATTGAGAAGTCTTGTGGTAAACCTTGACAACCTTGTTATAAGCACATGCCACTTTTATGAGCCTCTTTAAAGAAGTGGTCATAGTTATTTAGTTGGTCTTTCAGTAGGGATAAATCTTACTCCCTATCATTTCTTAAATTATTCTTGTGTTTTCCTCTTTTTGTAGTGGTAAAAGCCCTGGCAATAGGGAGCGAGTGGACAAAAAATCATTCATTTTACAATGTGATCATATTTGTAATGGTTTTATTAGAAAACTATACTCTGAAGTATTATTAAACAAAGTAAACATTGAATGATGCAGTATATCAATAATAAATAGTAGTTGTGATCCAGCACAATGTTCAGTTCCCAAGATGGTGGTGTTTTGCAGAGGTGTCAAAAAAAAATCTTCAAGTCCTTTGTCCAAATAACCAGTCTACAGGGTCTTTGCCTCTGCAGTCTCTCTCCCTGCTTAGCCTCACGGAGGACTCTTCTGGGCACTGAGACAGACTTCTGTGAGTCCTTAGTACTCGAGGAGCTGTGGAAGGCAGTTTCAGCGAGGCTTTGGCGCTGGGGCGTCCCCTCTGTCCCCTGTGAAGGCGCACTGGTCCACAGCTGGGGGCCTCTGAGGGACAAGCCAGGGCCCTCATACTGGCCATGTAATCATCATCCAGAGAGGGAAGCGTGTGAGGGGGGTAGACAGGCAGGCTTTGCGGAGTCATGTCCTCCAGCGTCTCTGTGATCGTGGGGAGATGAGGCAGAGACAGCAGCAGTCGTCTGGGCTTCATTCTGGACAAGAAATTAAAATGCTGTTTAGATTAACATCCTCAATGACACAAAACTGTTAATGATTTTAAGTTGTTCAGGTCCCTCCAAATGTAATGAGAAGAAACCAAATTTTAAGATTTGAATTGTATATATCCCATTATGGAACAATAGATTGTCCAAAACATTACTAGAAATTGCAGGACAAAGATAGTGCTGAGATCTTCAATGCACTCAAGCACATTTCGCATGTGACTAAAGAGAAGATATCTGTTGCTCAAAATGAATATAATCAATACTAAACTCCATAAAACCAGTAAATATTAAGTGGGAGAAGACTCTTACCTCTGTAATTATTTCAGTAGTTTTGTTGTGTTCAAGCAGTGAAGACCTGTTGAGTCCCGTGTTTGTGTTGCTTCTGACTGGACCACAGTGTGTATCAGGCTTTATAGAAAATCGGCGTGGAGTGCGATTAGTCCATGCTGCTAAAATTAGAATGTGAGACCGAGGGAGTGTCCAGGAAGCAGGAGTGGTTCAGTGGTGCAGCTGGTCCCTATGTTTATGTAGCAATAACAATGATGACCCCCACCTCTCCACACATACACTGAATTATACTTTCTAAATAATGACGCTATGAACAATGACCTAATTAATACGTTTTGAACCAATAAATCAATATTATTTTTATAGCAGTTTCTAAATGGTTTACAAAGTGCAGCTTACACATTTTAAATCAGATAAAAGAATACATTCAAAACAAAACATTCAAAACAAAACAATCAAATGATAATCTAGATGGATGGAATTTATGTTTTCTAAAAGTACAAAACAAACCTTAAATACAGGTTTGTTGACAAGCTTTTGTTTAGAAAGTTGTTCTGTTATCAAAATAATAAGTCAGAGCAGTGTTCCCTTTCTGTTATTCCAAAGTCCACAAATAATGCCACACATTTGTGAGATTTCATAACACTTTGAAGCAACTTTTGTTAAAGTTAAACTCATCATTCTATCAATGTGCAGAAGCCAGTACTTTTCCCTTGTTTTGTCTATCTGAAGGCCAAGCTACAAGCACACCGTGGCAGCTGCTGATTGGAGGTCTCCATGCCTCCGCTCTGTGTAATACACTTGCATTCTATTGTATCTGTGATCGTGTGTTTTGTTCGTGTTGTCTCTACCATCGACAATAAAAAATTTCTTCTGTCGGAATTTATGACACGATCCCAGACTATGTCATCTTCTTCACATTTAGACAGGTGGAAATCACTATGATTGGCTGATTAACTGTTGTTGTTTTTCTTTTCTTTCTACTTTCTACTGCTGATGTATGTTTGGTTTCATGGCTCGAGGCTCCAAATGACTGAATCAGCTGATGAGGTGGTCTTCTGACTATTGGATAACCACTGTGAAAGTGATTGATACACTTTGTAGTAGAATTTAGGTTAAAAACTGACATGCTCTGAAATGCCATAAAGAATAAAGACATGTTTTTTTTTTTTATGATATGTGTGATGTGTACCTTTTTAATGACAATGGCAAGAATTGATGTATATCTATTGTACAAATTAATCTATATCCTAGATTATTTGCAAATAATCAACTAACAATGAAAATGTTTCAAGTCTTGTTCAAAATGATAGAAAATCCCATTTTCTATGGCCGTTGGTGATCCAAGCATCTATCAGTTGTTCACATCATATACATCGTGACGATACTTTTAAGACGCATGCCATTAAATCATTAAAATGGCTCCAGACTCATTACTCTGTGTACGTGACCAATTCTCATTTTTGACCCAGACTTGACTTTAGTCTTGTGCTCCGTTTGGAAAGAAGGAGGTGGAATTTCACTGAAATGAGAAGAGAGCGTCCATTGCTGCACGTACACCTATATGAGTTATTGTGGCAGTCAGCCAGAAGGAAATCCTCTCAGAACTGTTCATTGTATTCCCGCTGTGTTTGTGTGTGTGTGCATAGGAGGATGGAGAGCTCATCCTGGAGGGACTCTTAAACATTTACTGGGGTCTGCGTCGACCAATCAGACTTCAGATGCACGATGACAACGAGAGGTTCCAACTCCACAGGTAGAACACTAAAATAATAAAAGAGAAAGCGGACCAAATCTCTATCTTTGAGGCATGCATGTAGGAAAAAATGCTGCAAAAGTTTCTCCTTCTCAAATGTGTTATGTTTCAGCCTTAGGAGCTGTGAAGAGCTCATCATTTACAGAAGTAAAAATCTCCATTTAAACTCTCTATTGGAACATTACAGCATTTGCATTTGTTCTAATGGTGTTTATTTTGGCTGTAGTTTGGATTGTAGATAGCAAATTGGGCACAACACTTAATATATGGAATTCTCTGAACTCCTATCACGATTTTAAATGAAGGATTTTAAGTTTGTGTAAGCCCTCAGTCGTACAGGGATTAGTCAAAGCAAAGGAAGGTTTCTCACCCATCATCTTCCTTTGCTTTGAAGGATTTTAACTTTTCCAGGATCCAGGAAGGAATATTCCATACCGAAGTTCCCATTTCCCAATTGAGTTACGTCCCAGTCAAACCAGAGCTTGTGCAGCTCCACTCCTTTTATCATTTGAAAGTAATACCACCATAATGTTTCACCATATATGGCTTCACACAACCACCAACACATAAGGGGAAACAGTATCTTTAGTGAGTCCAGTATAAAAAAACATCAAACACACAATAACACTTATTTGTTTTTGTGTGTTCTATGTTTTTTTGTTTTTTAGATCATATCCATATTAATTCCAGATTTGACACTGAAAGCACACTTTTCATCAAGTTTGATTCCTAATTGTTTCTTTCTCAAAAAATCCTTAAATTAAATTTTCTGGAGGCTTCTCCAAAAAAACAAAAAAGGTCATAATATAATATGTATTCTTAGTTGTTCTTCTAGGGACAGATTCACCAAGGCTATAAACGTTGTGGTTTATCACATTTACGCATCACGTTGATTGTGCTCACAATTCCCCATTAAAAAAGTAAATACAATTTTGTGGCTTGTCACCAGCTCTGTTTTATTTCTCTGCAGACTCAGTGTGGCCAAGACGCTGCCAGGAGAAGCTAACAATAATCCGCAGCAGGGAACCAGAGGCAGTGGCCGTGCAGGTGAGGCACGTGTCGTCGCTTTATCACAGATTAGACTAAACCAGATTATGAAGAGATGCTTCTGTCTATTTCACCACACGTGTTTCACAATTTAATCAGATCATGTCTCCAGTGATGATGCTCCATTGAAATAGACATATTATGACAAGTATATGTCATTGCTTTATGTATTTATTAGTAGAACAGAGAAAGTAGTCTAGAAATAAACTTTATTAGTAAACATCACTTACATGACACCAATATATAATATACTAGATTCATTACATGCAAAGTGACATATGTCAAGCCTGAATATGGCAAGAGGTTTTTTTATTTTGTGGAGTAGTTTTATTTTTTCAAGCTGCGGAAATTTTAGAATGCATTTTATCTATGTTAAACATGCTCAAGACATGCCAACAAATATTCCTAGAAAAAATATATATCAATATAATAACCCGATACCTTCCCAGCCATTCAGACACACACAATAATACGATACAAAAACAAGACATTATATCCTACAATACAGTTTAACAAAACATGACAGCAATGTGACACACACACTCACACCAACAGTATGAGACACACACACTTATTTCACAAACACAATTATCCACATTAAGTCTTGATCTCTCTTTGAGTGAAATTAATGGTTTCACATTGGACCTTGAATAACTTTTTTTCCTGTACAAGCACAAAAAACGTATTGTTTAGATAATCCATTAGTGTTTGACGTTCATGGTCGGAGTGCTGTCTGTTTGAGGTGGTGAGGGCTCTGCCGGGGAAGAGGATTCGCCACAGCTGCTCAGGACGCGCAGTGACGCCTCCTTCATGAGGGTTCAGCGCAGGACGAAGACTCTCACCTCGGAAAACCTGCAGCGGCTGCGCACACACCGCTTTTCCATCAACGGACACTTCTACAACCACAAGGTGCAACAATCACTGCACAATGGTGGTCGTTCATTAGTGCTTCCTGGTCCTGACACTTGTCCGGGTGCAGAGGGCTTCCGTGGCTTCCTGTGTGGATGTGCCTGTCGTGGGTAAAAGGGCAGATGTGGCCTTGTTTTAAAGGTGGCTCAGGCCGGTCCAGTGGATTCTCAGAAACAATTGAACAAGTTACAGTACAGGGATTTCCTTTATAATGTTCCTGTTCAACCCGGTTCACGCTGCACATGAGCGGGAATGACAGATGTAAACAACAGAATTACCTGTAACTTTGTTTTTCTTTTGCATCAGACATCTGTTTTTACTCCGGCTTTTGGATCCGTCACCAATGTAAGAGTCAACAGCTTGATGACCACAGTTCAAGTGCTGAACCTTCTGCTTCACAAGTTCAGGGTGAGCAATATGTGCATTGCCTTGTAAATGTTGTCTTGATATTATGACCGCAAACAAGCCTTTTTTTTATGTGAACATTACAGAGTATTTATTCGAAGAATTGCACTGTCCACTCCCAAATGAAAACAGGATTAGGGCTTGTAAGTGCATTGCAATAATATAGTATATATTCTGTTTTCACATAGGTTGAGAACAAATGTGAGGATTTTGTTCTATACATGGTGCATGAGTCTGGGGGTAAGACTGTAGTTTTGTTTTCGACATGATTATATTAGTTTGTAAGATGGATTTGACTTTGTTTTCCGTGCTTGTTTGTTCGTATCCCACAGAAAAAACACGCTTTAAAGATGGAGAATATCCTTTAGTGGCCCGAGTGCTTTATGGACCCTGTGAAAAGATTTCCAAGATCTTTATCATGGAGGCCGACCTGGGAGAGGAAGTCACTTACGATGTGAGTCTTGGCATCCTGCCCCCACGCTCGGCTTTCACATCGTGTCCACAATGTGTGACCTGCTTCATGCGCTGGACTGCTCTGGGCACAGACAAACACAGACACAATGGACCAAGCATGAATTAGAGCGAGAAGTTAATTTTAGCAGAATGCTGAGAAATATCTTGTGTGAGGCTGATGTAACAATAGGTTGACCTGAGAACCTTGTGTTTGGTTCAAGTATGAGAAATGCAGTGCTCAAAACGTACAATACAAAACGTATATGCAGTATATTCTACCGCACACTGTATGTTTCAGTGTCATAATGGTAATAGAAAATCATTAGACAAGCAAAACACATTTATCATTCTGCCAAACTTAACTCTTGAGACCATCTTTGAACCTGCTCTGATGACATAACGCATTCATCCAGCAGTTCACATGCTTTTCCTTTGGGGTGATCTGCGATAAGCTCTCGCCGTTTGTCTGTAGTTTATCCCCAGCTTCATAGTCAGTAAAAATAAACCTAATATACTATATTACACAAGTAAACCGTGACCACTAAAAAGAGGTCAGCAAAGTGGAATGCTATTGTAAGGCCATACTGAGGATATTTTGAATATCTAATTTGCTACAGAAAAGCTGGATGATTTACTTTTATTATTATCACAAATAATAATTCTTATAAGAAACAAAGTGTCTCATATGCGGCTTGACAATCTGTGTTATTGACCCTAAAGTTGTATTTTTAATTCTTACCGACCTAGTCATATGCTGAATGAAAGAGGACTGTTTTAAGCCTGGCCTTGAATGTAGAGACTGTGTCCACCTCCACTGAAGAAGCTTGGCAGCTAAATGCTCTGACTCAGCTTGTGCTTTTTGAGACTCAAGGAACCATTAGAAGTCTAGCGTTTTGTAAGAGCAGTGCTCTGTTTGGTTGAGCTGACACCAATGTGTATTGGCGGTAAGAGCGGGCCATAACATGTTATTATAATAATATGTTATAAGAAGCATTATAAATTTGATTCAATACGCCATGGGAAGCCAGTAGGATTTTAACTCTGGAGTTATGTGTTCTCTCCGTTGAGTCCTTGTAAAGATCTTTGCTGCTGTATTTTGGATGCACTTAATCTATTTCGTATTTAAACAAGTCCATCACTTTTTAGAAGGATATTCCTCATTTTGGCTATGTTAGGCAGATGCAAAAACTGTTGGAATGCTTATGCTCATTTGTGCTTGAGCTGTAACTAAGGACACAATGTTTCTTTCTTTACTCTTTCAGGTTGCTCAGTACATAAAGTTTGAGATTCCAGTTTTAGACAGTTTTGTGGAGAAGCTAAAAGAGGAGGAGGAGCGGGAAATCAACAAACTGGCCAAAAAGTAAGACAGCACTTACCGCCTTGACATCAACTCTAGCCAGGGCTGGACTGGCCATCGGGCGTACCGGGCAATGCCAGAAGGGCCGATGCCCATATTTGGGCCGGTCTGTCTGCCACATACAAAAAACATGTTTGTGAAAAGTGTAAATCCGTTGAGAAATGTTCGAGGGGAGCGCGCGTGTCCGCGGGGCACCTGCTGTATGTACTCGAACGGGATTCTACCACCTCAGCGGCCGCAGTGTTCCCGCATCCAGCGGCTCTGAGCTGGACGCAGGAACCGCTCACAACACAACACGGTGAGCGCGTAGCCGCAACGTGACCATGTACCCAAGACCATAAACGCGCACAAGACCATGCATGTCTTTTCGTAATTTGTGCACCCAATAAATACACCGCTGCAGAAAACAGTCCGCGTCTCCACTCTCCTCTAAACTAAAGCTCGGGTACCTACATTTTCCATTGCATTAAAAGTTCATGTTTGAGCCCAAAAGTAAAATGTTGTGAACAGATTAAACAGATTTAGAGCCGGCTAATGGCTGACAATATGCATTTCAGAAATGTTTACCAATTCTCATCCCTGTAACAAACAATAGTGTTGTCTGTGCCCACCTCCCTCACTCTGAGACATGTTTATTACTCTGTTTAATGTAGACTATTGTACTGTATTTTATTGTTGAAACTGGAGAGATCCTGATCCTCTACAGTATTTGCTTCAACATACTGTATAAACCAGGGGTCGGCAACCTTTAGTGCCCCTAAAGTGGCTCCTGGAGCCTTTTCAAAAATGTCTGAAAATGGAGTGTGAGGGCTATATTTTATTTCTAGTTTGAATGTGGTTTCTGTAGGAGGAAAAACATTCTTAACATTTTTCAATGCTGCAAAAACTTGTATAAGTAATAAGACGGTGAAAGAAAAGGCCATTAAGGACATTTAGGTCCAGCAAACTTCCGCCTGTGATGGATATGAACAGACAGTGATGCAGGTGAACTCGGAGCCAAAAATCAGATTTATTTATTTACTGTATTTGTACAATTGCATGAAGGCAAAAAAATGGAAGTTAAAGTTAAAGCAGAGTCGTCACGTGGTGCGTCATTCTCTCCAGGACATGCTGCAATGAAAATACACATTTGATAATCATGAATGGTTTTTATGTGTTTAGCCTTTACTTTGTCATTTAGATATTAGGCTAATATAGCTAATATAGCTAATATAGCTAATGTAGCTAAGGTAGCTAATGTAGCTAATACAGCTTCAGCCCCTGTTACCTTCATATAAGCCTTATAAAACGCTGTTTTTGTTTTTGTTGTCAAATATGGCTCCTTGAACCTTTTTGAGTTGCCTGGGCCGCTAAAAAGGAAAAAATGCCCGGGCCGTTTTTTTGTCCCAGTCCAGCCCTGACTCTAGCCACAGTTTTCAGGAATGGTTCCATTTCAACAAAGGTTTCTTTGATCCCTCATGAAACACACTATTGTTACATTGTTAAAAAAAAAACCACACACACACATCTGTTGACATAGAATGAGTGTCAATGGAATGCATATGTGTCTGTGTTGTGTAATATTTAACTTGTACGACCGAGACGTACTGAAACTATAAACCACTGTGTCTGTGAACGAATATTACAGTATGGCTTACAAACTACAGTATTTATTCTCTCTATTCTTGAGTGTGTCCTCACATTTGCATTTGAGAAAATGTGTCTAAATATAATCTATTTTATTTCTGCAGATACAGTTCACTCAGATCCATGATTCTGCAGCAGCTTGAAGACAAGACGCTGGACAGCGACAGAGTATGATGGAAGCCTGGGCTTGTATTGGATTTAACTTAAAGGATGTAACACTGATAGATTTGTTGTGAATGTAGAAGACCAGAGAATAATGTATGTTAGCCAACACTGTTTTTTCCCATAGCTTTCTATAATGTTTACCAGGTTATTAACTATTCAACTTGTAATAATTTATATGGGCAAATGTCATGTTTATAACTTTTCCAATAAATGAACAAAACACGTTTTGTGGATGGAGGTGGAGTTCAGTGTTGTTTTTGAGACGACTTAGACAGACTTTATTGATCCACAAGGGAAATTGCGTTGTCACAATAGCTTGCATAATATTCCACAAAAAATAACAATGAAAATAAAAATAAAGTAACAACCTGAAAATACCAACAATAATAAGATGCTACTGTGAGAATAGAATAATCTGGATATAGGTACCTTGAGAGTTCCCATGAGTAAACTGGTCCACATCAAAGTGATATTAGAGGTGTTGAAGTTCAGAATTATGAATTTTAAATTAGCTTGACTTGTTCTATTTTTTATCCATGAAAAAGCATGTTTTGAATATTGTCTTTGAATTTCACTCACTGAAAAATTCAATGTACACATTTCAATATGATAAACATTTCAAAAAAACGAAATTAAATTGGTATGGTGTGACGGAATAACTAATGACCGTAAATTTCAGTCATTTTTTTTATCGAATTTCACAGTAAAGGTGAAATGTTTATCACATTGAAATTAGCGCATTTTTCAGTGACTGAAATTCAAAGACAAAAATATTCAAACATGCATTTTTATGGTTAAAAATTGAAAACTCAAAACATCTTCAATACTACTTTCAAAAGAAAGTAATGATAGTATTTACTATGTAAGGAATAGCAATTACGTTTTAAAAAAAATATATAATATACTTTCTATGGTAATGATGTGATGGATTTTTTTTTGGATCCGCATTTAGATATTTTATTTTGAAAGTTTTCCCGGATGTGTTTTTTGTGAAGCTTTCTTCAATTTGGAGGTTCCGCTACATTTCACTTCTCTTACTTACGTTACAGAGACATTACATTTACGTCTGGATATTTTCAAGGCGACATTTCCTGTATACAACTGTGTTGAACAGAAGCATCAGTGATGTCTGCGGACAAACGCGGCGCTGCGGTGGTGGTGGTGGGCAGCGGTGTGGCAGGAATATCTGCGGCTCTGAGGCTCATGTCTGCGGGGTTCCGCGTCAGAGTCCTGGAAGCGACTGGGAGAAGTGGAGGAAGGATCAAGACTGCGACACTCGGTAAACCTAGCTCCATGGGGTAAACAAGCGTATGGTTTATAATCACAATACAATTACAATTATTAAGCTATGTATAAACTAAATGCCCAGTTAATCAACCATTGTCAACAAAATAGCATTAAGTGCTCATATGTGTATGCATTGAATTGTTCATTATTTGTAACGTATTTCTTATTATATTAGTATTAACTTAAGTTTTCATGATACTACTATGTTTGGAAAAGTGGTAAAGTTGCGTAAGACAATCGAGATTAATTATAAACCCAGCTCTGTAATGTGTCTACAGGTAATAATATTGTGGAGATAGGCGCCAACTGGATTCATGGCCCGAGTGAAGAAAACCCGGTGTTTTGTCTAGCCCGTCAGTATGGTCTGCTGGATCCAGAGGCACTCATACCAGAGAACCAGGCCATGGATGTAGGAGGACACCCCCCATGGGTCCCAAACTTCTTTACCAGCTCAGGTTCTCACCACACCAAATCTGCAAATGTATCCAGATATACAATCATGTCTATGATAATATTAGACTCATTCTGTCAGTAACCCTAAACACAGGACTGCAAAAGAAGTAATTTAATCAAAGCAAATACATAATCGAAATGCAGGGAAAAAATATTTGTTAAGGACTAAAAGAGACGTAACATAGACAATGTTGAAGCTGGGAGGAGATGACGGAACGAGACAAGTGATAAAAATGAGGGCAGGGCAGGTAAACTCATAACAGGCAGTAGAAAGGTATACACAGGATTAGTGTCTTCTACTATCTATTGCTTATTTCATTTCATACAGGACTTCTACAACTGTAACACAAATCACAAAAAGGACAATGAAGAGATACACAAGTCTAGACCATTGAGTGTTAGTTACTTTGTAGTTTATTCTTCACAAACTTATCCACATCAAAAATCAATTAACACATACAGAAAATATACTGCAATGCACAGTTTGAAAAGGGGTTGGACAAAAGGGACGCTTTAGTTCACCCTTTAATTAACATTTAAGACATTTAGAGCACATTTCCTTTCACTATATGCTTTCCATTTACAAGGAGCAAAGGTTTAGTAGAATAAAAGGAGGCATAAGAGCACTCAGGTTATCAAAAAGGATCTATTATTGAAGATAATACATAATCAAATCTCCAGCTGAACACTGCAAAAACATGTGAACTTGTCTTTGACTTCAGTCATAGCAGTTTTCACACTCCTGTTGTTATTGACAACTCCCAGGTGCAGATCGTAGAGGAGTGCAAGTTCCTGGGCTTAACTCTGTCTAACGACCTGAAATGGGCTAAAAACACTGACCGGGTCGTAAAGAAAGCCCGTCAGCGTCTTTACTTCCTGCGGAAACTTAGAGAATTTACCACTAATTCTAAGATTCTGCTGAACTTTTATCGCTGCACCATTGAGAGTTTACTTGTTGGTTCTGTGTCTGTATGGTTTGGAAACATCACGGATAAAGAAAAGAGAGCTTTAAACAAGGTGCTCCGCTCTGCAAAGAGGACCGTGGGCTGTGATCTTCCTGTTCTGGAGGTTCTTTACAAATCCAGACTTTTAAACAAAGCTCTTAAAATCATCGGTGACTCTTCTGGCCACCCTGGGAAAGCCATGTTCCATCTTCTTCCCTCTGGCAGAAGATACCGGTCACTGAGATGCAAGACATCTCGCTATGCTAACAGCTTCTTTCCACAGGCTGTTAGGTGCCTAAACAGAGCATTTTAATTCCTGCTTTTACCTGCTTTTAAACTGCTTTTACCCCTTGTATTGTTTTGTCGATCGGTGCCACAGTGTCAGCTGTTTTTTTATTATTTATTATTTTATATTCAGTGTATGTGTATTTATATTACATTGTATCGTGCTTTTTATTCTGTCGGTGCACACAGAGTACCTCTTTTTGCATGTATTTCCAATGTAGTTTTACTGCACATGGCCAATAAAATGAATCTGAATCTGAAATATTGAGATGATAAACTCTGGAGCTATACTTGCACTTGAGTCAAAGATAAGTAACTTGTCTGTAGTCAGCAGCAGTCATGAGGTTTCACATTTGCAGATGGTTAGTTTGGTAATAATAGCATGTAAAGTGACCATTGAATGATGAATAAAATATTTAATAATAATAATAGCAGGCAAAGTTATCAGTGACTAGTACAGTGACCAGTGAATTATCAGATGAGCAGCACATGTACTATTTGCAGTGTGATTTATCTAGTGTTTACAATTATTATTATTGCTTATATTTCAAAACTTTTTAAATGTATTTTAAAAAGGGTTTTCATACCAATGATATCCAATTCTAATCTTAATCTTTTTATTTATTTTCAAGGTCACAAGCTTGATGCACAACTCGTACTTCCTGTTCAGCTGGCATGCCTTGAAATCCTTGAGGAAAGTGCTTCTTTTGAGGGAAGAGGAGAACCTTTTCCCAGTGTCGGAGAATTCATCCGCTCAAAGGTATTTTTCCTTCTGTCTTAGGCAAAGGTCATGTTTGTTAACTGTCATCATGGTGCTCAGGCCACAGAGAAGTGGAGAGACGCAGACGCAGCCAGCAGATCCCTGGGCTTTTCCGTCATCAGTAACTTGCTGAAGGTGGAGTGCTGTGTTAATGGGACCCACAGTATGAATGAAGTAGGACTGGGTGCATTCAACCTGTACAAGACTCTGCCAGGACTCGACTGCACGTTTCCCAAGTTAGTCCTATTGTTTTTATGTATTCATATTTGGGAGGTAAAGATTTCTAGATGAATCGCAATCGACAATTGTGATTATTCAGGTCCCAATATAATTGTACAAACTGAAAAATTATAATTTTAGAAGAAGAAAACCTATGGTTTCGTTTTCATTCCAAGCACTATCAAATTAGATTCTCATTAGAGTGAAATTGCTGTCTTTTAATTATTTTAAATTTACATTTTGTATTTTGTATGATAAAACACAATTATACCATCTTCAAGCACATGTTAGCCAAATATAGACGTATGTTTTTACTGGTCTGTGGCCAATAAGCGTAATTATGTGTTAAGTTGTGTGGTTTTCTTAACCATAACTCTAAAGCTTAAAGTTGTTACATCCGAACATAGTAATGATTTAAGTTAAACTGCGGCTGAAAATGTACATATTCTCATTAATGTCTTGTGTTTATTCACACTCTCTTTTTGCAGAGGTTATGAAAGTCTGATAAAGAACCTGCTTTCAGAGCTGCCCTCAGACACGGTGACCTACAACTGTCCCGTTCGCTGCATTGAGTGGATCAACTCAGAGGCGAAAGGGCCTGTTATAGTAGAGTGTGAAGATGGACAAAGGATCGCTGCAGACCACGTTATTGTCACAGTGTCCCTGGGTAAGGCTTCTCTGTAGTTTTTACTCATGTTTGGTAATTGTAGCTAAAGCAAAGTTGCATGTCATTTTCTCACAGGGTACCTCAAGAAAAATCATGCGACAATGTTTCGCCCTGCTCTGCCTCTTCACAAACTACACTCGATCCAGAGACTCGGTTTTGGAACAAACAACAAAATATTTGTAGAGTTTGATTCGGCCTGGTGGGATGCTGACTGTGAGGTCATCTATTTATTGTGGGAAGATGAAGTCAGATTTCTTGTCTTTTTGCAATTATTGGTCACGTGTGCTGTCGAATATGTAACACTTTTTCTCTGATATTAGAGAGAGATGGTGGATCAGGTGATGGACGTACAGTCTTCATGGATAAAGAAGTTATTTGGCTTCACTGTGTTGAAACCCTCTGAAAGGTTAGGAAGATCTATAAAACAATAAATACAAATATACACAAATGCTTTAATTTGGCTTAAATTTCTTCAAACTTTTTATATTGGTTCAAATGCTGTAACGCGGATATGTGTGATGTGGGTTACTCAGTTAACAATTTTTTTTTGTTTCTCCATGTTCTTACAACCTGAGGAGCTAAAAATAACATTTTTATTCCTTCCCTTTCCTCTACAGATATGGTCATGTTCTTTGTGGGTGGATCGCTGGGCATGAATCTGAATATATGGAAACTCTGCCTGAACAACAGGTGGTACAAGCTGTAACACAACTTTTAAGACGGTTCACAGGTGGGTCCACACCATGATTGATGATGATAACGGTCCACACACGTTGTTTTAGTTCATTTAGGCTATGAGCAGATTCATTACCAGCACATGCACTAGCCTGATCAAATAAAAAAATAAGTATAACTTCTGATTCAGGTAACCCCGTCCTGACACCAAAGCGGGTCATGCGCTCCCAGTGGTTTCATGATGCATGGACTTGTGGATCATACAGTTTTCCAGGATTAGGCTGCTCTTCTCAAGACCTTGAAAATCTGGGGGAGCCTCTTCCAACAACAGGCTCTTTGGTAAGCAAAGATTTACAAACTCAATGCTAAACAAAGTGCATTCTATATGCATAAAAAATGATGGTAACTTTAAGTTGTTTCTGGTGATTTTCAGCCACTACAAGTGTTGTTCGCTGGAGAGGCCACTCATCCTTGTTTCTTCTCCACGGTCCATGGAGCTCTGCTGTCGGGTCGAAGAGAGGCAGACAGACTCATCTCTCACTACTCGACCAATAACGTCTTATCCAAACTTTAGTTTTAGATGATCAACTATGCTATGGAATTTTTAATTGTCTGCAATGTTCACTTTATGAAAGTGTTACTTTCATGATGTAAGTGTCACTTTCATAAGGTGGCTGAGTGGATAGCACTCTCACCTCTCAGCAAGAAGGTCCTGGGTTCGAATCCCGGTCTGAAGAGGGTCTTTCTGAGTGGAGTTTGCCTGTTCTCCCTGTGTCTGCGTAGGTTTCCTCTGGGTACCACTAAAAACATGTTCAATAGTTCTGGCATGCGCCTCCTGTACTGGCGACCCTGCTCCCATCTCTGTGGAGTGAGAGACAAATGCCCAAAAATAACAATTGCAAACCGCTTTGTGACTCTGGTCTGTGAAAGGCGGTGTATAAATAAAGATTACTTACTTACTTTTCACACATTTTGCACTAGAAGATACATAGATGATTATAAGAATGGATGCCTTATTCAAAAGATTGAGATCGTACAATCGGACGCACACTGGGAAATTTGATAATATTTAAAGTATTTTGGATTACATGTTTACACTTGATTTATCATTCTGTAAAATTTATATTTTTGTAATGAATTTTAAATGAAAAAAGTTTTTGATTAAATTGTTGTCTTTGATATTGATAGATGTACTGTAACTATGGTATGTAAGAAATCCTCAAGGACATCACAAAAATTATTCAATTAATTCAGTTAATGTGATTTTACTATTATATTCAAAAATTCAAAAGTCATGTGTTTACTTGAACCAAATATAATAAATGATTGGATTACACAACTATCTTTAAAAAGATTATATATATATATATATATTCATATATATATATATTATATATATATATATATATATGTATATAAATATTAATATATATATATATTCATATATATATATATATATATATATATATATATATATATATATATATATATTATATATATGTATATAAATATTAATATATATATATGGGGTAAGGTTACTGTCAATAAAGACGTGCATGTCTAAAAAAAATGCGTGCATATTTATTGGTATTTGTGCATACAAATATTTTATTAATTCATGATTAAGATAATACAAACTAAAGCCACATGGAATTTCGTAATTAAGAATAAAAAAAATATAAAACTGTATGTGTGATTTTGTACTTGTGAATGCGATTTTTTTTTGTGTGCTTGCATTTTCTTTTTGAGAATATGAATTTCAGCAGTGAGCAAACTGTCAATAATACGTCACTGCTCACAGACATTAACAATCGAGCCTGCGCAGAGTTGATCAACTTCATTGCCTAAAAACTAAACATGGCAGAAGGACACAACATAAACAAAGTGGCTCAAAATCAAGTATATAACTATATTTTATCATTTTGGTTGTAAATGAATGTGTAAGAAATATTAATTCCATAAATGTGTTCATAAGAAGATGTTTCTTGTCCCTCTAAAGGTTTTTTGGCAGTGTTGTTAGCTCCAATGCTAGTTTTATTTTCTTATCCTTATATTGTTTTATTCTACAGAAAATAATGCATTTATTTTAGTCTAAACAACAGACTAACTAGTCTTACTAAACTAGTGAGTAAAAGTAATGTGTCAAATGTACAAATATAAGATTGAGGTCCACAGGGACAGGGTCTGCTACGTCTAACAACCGAGGATGAGTAAAGCACAGAGGTGTTCTCCATATTGCTCAGGGGCAGTAACAGCGTGAACTATGAATAATCTGGAGGGTTGGGGCTGGTATCAACACTTTAACCACATTGATTTGGGGCAAAGGCTTCATAAAATGTAACTGCTAAGAATGTAAAAATGTTGGTTTTAAAATAACATGGTAAGCTGTAAAACTAGCCTCGAAGCTAGTGTTAACTAAACACTGCCTAAAAAAACGTTTCTAGAGAGGGACAAGAAACATCTTATGAACACATTTTATGGAATTAATATTTCTTACACATTTATTTACGACCAAACTGATCAAATATAGTTATTTACCTGATTTTGAGCCAAATTGTTAATGTTGTTGCCCTCTGCCATGATCAACTCTGCGCAGCTCGATTGTTAATGTCTGTGAGCAGTGACGTATTATTGACAGTTTGCTCACTGCTGAAATTCATATTCTCAAAAAGAAAATGCAAGCACACAAAAAAAAATCGTATTCACAAGTACAAAATCACACATACAGTTTTATATTTTTTTTATTCTTAATTACGAAATTCCATGTCTTTTTAGTTTGTATTATCTTAATCATGAATTCATAAAAATAAATTATGCACAAATACCAATAAATATGCACGCATTTTTTTTAGACATGCACGTCTTTATTGACAGTAACCTTACCCCATATATATATATATATATATTAATATATATATATATATATATACATACATACAGTGACACTCTGGAGTGATGTGTTCATTAACATGTACTGTCTGTCCCAATATATACAGTCTATGGTCCCAACCAAATAAACAATAAATTAACCTACAGGTGGCGGTGTTGTTCCCGGAACCCTGAAGGGCCCGCAGTGATTTCCAGTCGGAGTGTAAACAGTGTAACACACATAGAACCTCAATAACAGTGACATGATTTTCCTCTGTTCTTTCTTTCCTTTACTTTGACATCTTATTGGAGATGAAACTGTTCCTCGCACTTCGTAATGTCGCTGGTTTCAGAAGTGCGTTTGACTTTGGTGCGCGGGACGTGGCGCACTGGTTCCCAGGACACATGGCAAAAGGTTGAAAAACTCACCTGAAAATAATAAAGCAGCTGATTCTGAAAAAAAAATTGTTTTAGGGCTGAAACAGATGCGAGCAAATCTGAAGAATGTGGACTGCGTTATAGAAATACACGACGCCAGAATATCCTTCCGTTCATTATCTATGTGCATTGGTATAATACAAGTTTAATATCTTCTTTAACTTTAAATACATTCCATTTTCGGGGAGAAACCCAGTGTTTCGAGAAACTTTAGATGTCAAACCACACCTCCTTGTTTTGAACAAGATGGACCTGGCGGACATGTCACAGAAACAGGTCTGTAGATGTAGATTGTGTGTTTATGATGCTTTTATAACGTGTTATAAAGTACTTGTGTCTGCAGAGAATACAGAATCAGATGCACAGAAAAGGAGTCCAAAATGTTCTCTTCACAGATTGTCTGAAACAGAGAGATGACAATGTTAAAAAGGTTGACACGCTTATCCTCCAACTTAATTATTATTATCACTTATTAGCTTATTATAACATTTGACTTTGTTTTGTTTCTATAGCTGGTTCCAAAAGTGATGGAAATTCTTACAGACACTCCACGTTTCAACAGAGATGAGGTCATTGCAAAAATGTTTTCATATTTACAGATAAATGTCTTATTTATCACATTCTAATTTTTGCAATTTTGCAGAATGTTGATTATTGTTTAATGGTTATTGGCGTTCCAAATGTGGGAAAGTCATCTCTGATTAACTCATTGAGAAGAACGTATTTAAAAAAAGGTAAGAGAAAAGATGTTATTATAGTATTATAAACAGGTTTTTGTAGTTTCTGTAGGGGTTACATATTTGTATCCCTCAGGTCGAGCATCACGAGTTGGAGGAGAGCCAGGCATAACTAGAGCCGTTCTGACTAAAATACAGGTTTGATACAGTTAATAGTTTTATTGGAATGAGATAAATTGACATTTAAAGGGAACACTGCATTTTCAGGTTTGTGAACGACCAATGATGCATTTGTTGGACACTCCAGGAGTCTTGCCTCCAAAAATAGATGATGTTGAAACAGGAATGAAGTTGGCTTTATGTGGCAAGTGACTTTTATTCATTGAAGCACAAATTTATTGATATTGTATTTTTATTTTAGGATTTGTGTTCATTTCTAGGTACTATACTGGACCATTTAGTTGGAGAAGACCTAATTGCAGATTACTTACTTTATTCTTTGAACCGTCAACAAAAATTCAAGTTTGGTTTTATTCTGTAAAACTCAATATAAAGACATTTTCAGCAAGTTTTTACAGTGTCCTCATATTTTGTGTCCAGTTATGTTGAAAGATATGACCTTGAAGAACCCTGCGATGACATCCAACAAATCCTAAAACGTATTGCAGTGAAACTTGGAAAGACTCAAAGAGTTAAAGCCATTACTGGAGTCGGTAAGAAAAGGATCTGGTCGTTAAATTTAGAGTTGATACATTTAACTGTTGTTACAATTAACTGTAGTTCACTGTATTAAGTGTTTTGTTTCATACCTGCAGGAAATGTGACCATCACTGTCCCAAACTACAATGCTGCAGCGTATGATTTTATCAGAGCTTTTAGAAAAGGAGAACTAGGACGAGTGATGCTGGACTGACCGCTGAAAACACTCAAGCTGTCAATAAAGACATTCAACTACATTCATTTGAGGTATGGCCTTTATTTTGGTGACATCAAAGAAGAATAGAACATGTTTTTACAGAAGTGCTCCTTCAAATATTCAAGTGCATACAAACACATTTCAGTAGGTAAAAAAGATTGAGAAGGAAATACCAGTAAAATACATGTAAAAACATTATACTTTTTTTAAAGGCTTTCATTTGAGACATTTTGATTTTCAGCAGCAATACTGCGTGTAAACTGTTTTGTATGTATGCACATATAGTATAATTATTTGATTTATTATTTATATTTAAATTAAAGAAGTAATGGCACATAACAAAATGCAAGGACAAAAATTATACTTCAGTCTTACACAGTGTGATACTGACTTTTTTAATACATTGAAAATACAGTATTATAATAAACAAATATGTACAGCATTTGAACAGATTTTGGCACCTTCATATTTAGTTTAAAAAGTGTTATGGCACATTGCATACAGTGCTGGTAAGCAGATCTGGCAGTTGGAACTGTTATAGATACAGTACAGTGCAGTGATCAGTCCACATATTTGTGATTGTTCACTTTTACAGTTTTCCCAGCACAAGGAAAAGACACAGATCAGACAGAGCATCCTGATCTTCATCAAAATAGTCACACCCTTGAAAACCTCTACAGTGCGGTGCCATTGAAGAGCCTGTTTAAAGTGAGAAGGGCAGCAGCAATAGCAGTCACCAGCTGAAGGAGAGAGGACTCACTGTTACAGGAGCCTCCTGACAGCTGTGCGTCAAAGTAGTTTGTCCTGTTGTAGAAGTCCACATCCTCCTCTGAGCTGTCGGCGTTGCTGCGGCGATAGGCTGAGGCGTACCATCCATCTGCTGTTAAAGCCACTGCTGCTCCTGCTGCTGCTGCCGCCGCCACGCGCACCGGGGACGTGCGCCCGGCTGCTCTGAAGCGAGAGCGGGTTCCTCCAACCGGGCCTCCTCCCCTGTAGTTGCCTGAGGTCGAGCTACGAGCAGAAGACCCTCGAGAGGACCCCCTGGACCCTCCTCGGCCTCCTTTAGACAGCACAGGGTCACACAGGAAAGCAGACAACAGGAGGCAGATCCAGCATGCTGCAACCAGCTGGTTCATTCCAAACATCTGCAAACACAAAGGGCCAATAGTGACTAATAAACGCAACTACATAAGTCATTTACTGTACATAATACAGTAACAAATATTTCTAATACATTCATGACCTGAAGGCTATAATAGCAATAGCATCTGTAGGCCTGTCATCATAACACAACCAAGAAAACCCAATTATAAGTCAGCAACAAAACTCTGTCATTTTGCTTTTATAATGTCTTGTGTCACACAGCCTTGGACGTGTACGCAAACTGAACACCTAAAATATATTGAATAAAGAGCACCTCAATATGATGTTCATGTCAATGATGATTTGAAAAAAAAACATGGCCTAATTAGCCATATCTGACTGCTAATGACGGTCATTTCAATCTAGACGGGTTTCCTTATGGATTCCACCATAGTACTGACCTCTTATTGTCGACTATTGCTTTGTTCTCGTATTATGGCTTCAGAGATGCAGAGATGCGAGCAACCATAAATGCGCGTTCACGCACACGTCCTCGGCGCGTAACACTGACACATCGAGGCAGAACATTCACGATTTATTTATGTATGTATTTAATTCATAATTTTTTCCATATGATCAATTGTCGCAGGTGTAGACAATGGCTAATATATGAAAGTTAGAACAAAAAAAATACAGAATAATCACTTGAATGCTATTCCAAATGCAGCCGATAGATGGCGGCGGTGAATCGTGTTACTAGATCGAGTGAAGAACCCAAAGAAGAAAACACAGGAAGAGCCAGAGACATTTGTAGCCCGTTTGCGTGTTTATAGCACTACTCGTGTCGCTGTCATGGCTTTTCTGTGCAGAAGTGCGACCCAGCTCCTCAGACCGTGCAAGTCTGCGCCAGTGGCCGTGTCTGCGCTGCGCCTCTGCAGCTCAGGTCTGTCTGAAACTATAAGGTTTTCATGTTGCATTTTGAGTTTGACCCATGGATCTATTGACCCTGGAAGTCTGTAACTGCAAGGTCTGTAACTGCAGCTGCATTTACTGGCAAGACAGCTGTCAATTGTTAATGATGGTCAATGTTTACAAGACATAGTGATTTTATGATCAGTGAATGGGGGATTATATACTGTAGGTCAGATTTGTTCAATCACAACATTATACTATTACTTTTAGAAGACACAAGTTAGGTACCCCAGCTACAAGCCATTTCAGTCAGTGAAAAACAATAACATCTCCATAAGGAATATGTAATTATTTAGTGTCCCATTCGAAACATCTTTTTTTCACTTCTAAGTGCTTTGCTATACAATTCCCTGGAATTCACTAGAAAATGGCAAGGCAAACCATGGTGACTCCATCTCAGTAACATTGGCGATTGATAATCTCTCCACCAGTAAACCTGCATGGGCAATAGATTATAAAATGGATAATGAATAGTTGAGTATCTGACAATATGAAGGACTCCTGGGCTATCCTTGACCTTTCACTTTTTAGTAAATGATTTAAGATATGTAGAAACTATGTTGTTTCCCTTTCAAAAGCACAAGAATCCTACAATCAGAATGCATGCCGAATGTGTTTTCTGACTTTGTTTGTCTTGGCGCAGGTGGTCAGTACCAATACATTGTGGTGGAAAAACGGGGGGAGAACAATAATGTTGGCTTCATCCAGCTGAACAGACCAAAAGCCTTAAACGCTCTCTGCGATGGTCTCATGAAGGAGGTGGGTCACGCCCTGGACGGTTTCGAAGCTGATGGTGGTGTTGGGGCAATCGTTATTACAGGCAGCGACAGGGCTTTTGCTGGTGAGTTTTAACTTCTTCTCAGAACCGATTTTGAAAAGTATTTATGATATAGTATTTGTTATAGGCCTCATAAAAGATTGTACTCATTGTGTTTTGGGTGGGGCTTAAGCTGGTTGCAGAAAGTGGCAATGGTAGTCATGTTGCCTTTATGAATGGTAAGTTTTGGGATTTTAACTCAAGACGAAACAATAATAATATAATATAATAGTCTTTGTGTTTGTGGTGCTGTAGAGACATCAAATTAGTTATTTGTTTACTGTTTAGCAGTTATGTCAATGTATGGATACACTATAACTGCTGTTGTCTATCTGTTTTTTATCCTATGGCATACTAATTGTGAACAGGCACTAATACGCCACATTAAGCCTTTTAGCAAGGTAAAAATATAGAACTGCCAACAAGTCCTTGATGTTTTCTGTCTCCTGTTAAGCCCTGCCCACACTTGTGATGTAGGCCACATAATTGCCCATCATTTTGTATTTATATTGTAGCTGGAGCCGATATAAAAGAGATGCAGAATCGAACATTTCAGGAGTGTTATGGAGGAAACTTCCTTGCACACTGGAACAGAGTGTCCACAGTGAGGAAGCCTGTTATTGCTGCTGTCAACGGCTTTGCTGTAAGTTCAATCTGTGCTACTGTTCTTGCGAGTGTGGAGCTTTCATAAACTGATCTTTCTCACAATTACACAAAAGATTCCATGTTTTATAATAACTGCATGTTGTGCTCTGATTTTACTTTACATTTCCAAGACTCTTTCTGTTGGACAAATAACATGTACTAGTTATAAAAAAGGTTCTGTTCCATTGTCAGAACATAACTCTTCCAACAATGAAGCTTTTCCAGTGCTTGCATAATTTCATATTTTTATATATTTTTCTTTCTAGCTTGGCGGAGGTTGTGAGTTGGCAATGATGTGCGATATTATCTATGCTGGAGAGAAAGCACAATTCGGCCAACCAGAGATCCTATTGGGAACAATTCCTGGTAAGATTAAGTGCACTTGTACTTGCTTGGTGATCTTTAAAAATATATATATATTTTTTTTTTTTCCGGACAGTGAATAACAGTCTCATAGTACGGCTTTATAACACTGTTAAACTTCCATTGTAATCAACAATATCTTTTTTTCTTTTTCACATTTATATTTAGGTATAATTATGTACAGGAAGGGAGAGAGAAAAAAATAAAATATTCGGGAGATATAAAGAAAATACAATCCAAAGCAAATTACACATGAAAAGCGACATGGGTCAATTATTTTGGACCTCCACAAAATCTGGTTGTAGTGGCTTTATGTATTTTACCCATTTAGAACATAATCTAATAAGTTTGTTTTAATAAGACGGATAGAAAAGGTAATTGCTTCCTTTTACATACATCTCGTTCACAATACTCCTCCATTCTGCCACAAGGGGGGCTCGGGGAGCAGCTATTGTCTTGTAATGGTCTTTTAGCAGCAGAAATCGTAACTGGATCAGGTTTGGTTGTCCAAATAGTTCAGGAAGACCTTTATGCCAGTAGTCATTACATATGCCATGTTTGCAGGCGCTGGTGGGACTCAACGGTTGACTCGTGCTGTGGGAAAGTCTCTTGCTATGGAAATGGTGCTGACAGGAGACAGGATCAATGCACAAGAAGCAAAACAGTCAGGTAAAGAATTTTGTGGGCATTCTAGTACCCATTAGAATCCAATATTTTATTTTTGACTGCTTTTTCTTTCTCAGGTTTGGTGAGCAAAGTTCTTCCTGTGGATCAGCTGGTGTCAGAAGCTGTAAAATGTGGTGAGAAAATAGCAGCAAATTCGAAGCTGGTGTCTGCAATGGCTAAAGAGGCTGTTAACGCAGGTTTGTGTGTGATTACTGGTAATCAAATCAATTCAGAAGACTTTCAATTCAGAAGTTTTCTGAATCTGAATCCATTATCATTGGTGATGGTTTGTATTTTTCTCTTATAGCTTATGAACTGACTTTGGCTGAAGGAAATCGTTTAGAAAAGCGATTGTTCCATGCAACATTTGCAACAGTAAGTCCGGAATGGTTGAACTTTGCTCAGATTTGCTCTTTGATCGATTCATCTGGTTGACACAATGTGATGCCTCTTTTCAGGATGATCGTAAGGAAGGCATGACTGCATTTGTAGAGAAGAGAAAAGCCAGTTTCCAAGATAACTAAGGAAGACTGGATTGTGTGGATTTTATGTGACTAAATCAGATTTGAGACATAGTTGAATAGACTGATAACATGATGGAAGACACTATTCCCACTGGTACCATCATTGCACCATTGTGTGGCCTTTTCGCGCTCAAGTTTTCTTTTTTGTATAAAAGTTCTTGTGTATATTTCCAAAATAAACCTGATTTATGACCTGAAAAATATTGAAGAATATATGTAGTACTCGTACATCTCCGCTAGGCGATGCTCAAGGACTACAGATTGTGTTCCACAAACGTTCCACTGAACCATGGATCCAGCGAAAAGTACAGAAATGAATTGCTTGACTGATTGTTTTCACATTACAAATTGTAATTTATTACCAAATAATGCAAAATACTAGATTATGAGTGAACCCTGAAGGGTCTGAACCTGATACCTATTTTGTCATAATTAATAATATTTCTGTGTCCACTTCAAAGGAAAGTCCAGAACAAATTTGGTTACTGTGTGCATGCCTTTGTCCCACATCGCCAGTCATCTCCGGGCACCTTTATTTCTGATCTTCACAGGACAGCGCCACATACTTCTCAAGGCCATGGCCTAATTGATTTTAATTTTCTTTCAATATTTCTTCAGATCTCGCTTTCTTGTCTGCCCCCTGGAACTGACTTTAAAGGGAGGGGGGAAATGCTCTCTTCTCACCGCGGGGAAGAACAAAAGTCTTGTTCAGAGTGCCGCTCCTGAGGCTACTGAGAGGTCAAAATAATAAATGTAGACTCGCAGCGCACACAAAGGAGGCAAAACGTTACATTTTGGCAGCGCAGGGCCTTATGGCGTGATAAACTCATTTAAAGAAGCCCAAATAAAGGGAAGCAGCGTGAGTCCGCGGAGGGAGAAAGGGGCTGTCAGTCCAGCAGACAGGCCTGGCTCCAGAGAGGCCTTCTCTGCAGCGCAGCGGCGGCTGCATGAGAAAAGGAGAAAAGGAAAATATGCATCTATTCATGACTTTATACATTGGACATCATGCGCTCGGTATAGTCATGCGGTATTTTTGTCAGGAAAATATTGTTTATAATGCATTTAGATCAAGTCCATCTAAGGCGCCCTCCATCCTGCGACCACCACCACCAGACGTGCTGTTTTTCACTTTCTATGTAACTGTATTTGTCTCTGACTGTGTCGCAGTCCAGTTTATTTCCTGCTGTTTGACTTAGTCAGAAGTGACAAGTAGTATTTTTTGTTCTTGTATTTTCACCATTACCACTGATTTTACAAACCCACAAGTATATACTTTGTTTACATTAAACAGACAGCTGAAAACACAAAGCTGCGGGAGGAAGTTTTCCTATCCCCACGTAGACTCACAGATTTGGAAGGGTTCTGTTTTTGTTGCTGAATTGTCATATTCTGGCAGTATCAGATATTAGGTGGTGCTGAATATTCTGGTATTCTAATTATGTCTAACAATTTATATCATCCGTCAATTATTCAACAAAGATGCATTAACTTATGATAGATTGTACTAATTTACGCCCGTATTAGATGTTTATGAAATCATAAACTATGTTTTTACCTAAAACTTTTCTTTTTCCACCTCCGTGCGCAGGCTACTGCCCAATGCTCTGTCTGGATCATGATGGACTGAGTACAAGTCGAGTCGGGTTTGTGGAGATAGACCGTTATTATAAAAGATCCATGAGATGGACGCACACTCACAATAAGGACACTTTGTTTTGTATTCCAAACATAAAACAAAGTTACGGAGCGTGACCAGTGAAAAATATACAGTGCGAAACTCGGGAAATCAGAATATTTTCGAATCATTCAAAAGGTTTTGTTTCTGTAATTGAACTTGAATAGGTTATTAACTGTGAGACAATCAACATAAGCAAAATGAAGGCTTTATAAATCTCGTATGTCTCATTTTGCGAGTATGAGTCCTATTAGTTTCACTATAAGTTGAATTAACTTTATAGTTGCCTGTATTTATATTGGTTTTAGGACATTTGATTAAACCATCACCATATCATTAGCAATTATTCCCATTCAGAGGATCCCACTGAGGGATTACACTAAACCCTTTAAGTATATCACTGTTCAACAGTTTATGTCTCCAATCATTAGAATTCTGCAGTGATCCTTTTGGTCGATGTTTCTGTTCAGACCCCGGCAATGGATCTGATTATGGCAAAAGTTCAACTGTGGTTTATGTGTGCTTTCTATGAGATTTAACCATGGATCTATAATAATAAGATTTAACCTATTGGATATAGGATAGTTGAGCTGTTTTAAGAAGCTCGTCAGTCTTGGGATAATGTGTATCCTGTTATTTCTGCAATAGATTTAGTTTTGAATATTTAACACTGTTCTCAAACATTTGTGCCCATGTTATTATTATTGAATGTATTAGTAAGTAGTGATTTATGTTTATTTTGTACATACATAGCCTTTATTGGGAGAAAATGCTACAAATACAATTAACAGTTTGTTTTAGTCATTTGACAATTGCAATAAATTGATTCAATAAAGCTTTATGTAATATTATTGAGCGTTCAATAAAGATTTATTCATGATAAACTGCATCCAGATCTTCCTCTGGCTGAGTGAACTTTTGCATGGGCCCGTCCACAGAATCCACCTCACTGTTAAAGGGGGTCATCTCTGGGACGTCTCTGTGATAAATATCGTCCATGTCTTCTTCTGGCTCCAGGTAAAGCCTCCCCTGATTCTCCGCCATCACTTCAGGCTCCAGTGGAACCAGCCTCATGCCAGAGTCAACATCAGCGTGGTATAAGAACTCCTCATCCAGCTCAGGCTCAGAGGGCGCTGCACCATCATCTCCCACCACAAGAGGCGCCAGATACTTGCGCACGTCCTCTTCACTGTGGTAAAGTTCATCCCAGTCTTCTTCAGGCTCCAGCCGTGGAAGTTCTGAGCGGCTGTCATGCGTTTCTTCAGTACGTGTGACATCTTTTACTTGCATGTCTGCAGCAGAAAGGGCTTGAAGGAGGTTTTCTGTAGAAGGATGTTGCATATCATCCAAATCAGCTTCAGCCATTTGGTATTTGTTTCTTTGTTCACTCTGCACACTCTTCCAGATTTTCATACTCGGGTCGATGTCAAAGCTGGTTTCATCCATGTCTTCAGGAGGCTCCACTTCCACACCCCAGGAGGCCATACCTTTGTCATCAATGGATCTGCAAAAATATTATGACAGTGTAGAGCCCATATCAAAGTAAACACAACTTTGTGTTTATTTTACTGTGCGCTGGACAACTTACACCCAGCCTTTTTCAACTGCGTCATTGGAATGTTCATCCTTGCAAAAAACAAGTTAACATTATTTCCAGTCTGAAATTACATTAAAAATACATATACATCTATTCTAATCAATCATCCAACACATACAAATATCCATAATTTACTGTTACTATATGTAATGTATAATCACAAAAGTCGTAACTTCATATATTTCCACTTGTTGTTGAGGTTGTTCACAACAGCAGACACTTACCCAGGGTTTTAGTGGCTTCGCTATGATGCCAATTGGAAGTACAAAAAGTAATAACACAGAAATCCTAATAAGAAAAAAACAATAGATATCAGATTTGTGTTTATCTGTCTAAATTAAAAATAAATGAAAAGATTTTGACCTGAACATGGTGTCTCTTTGCGTCTGCGTTAGATCCAAACCAGAAATGATCTGCTCAGCTGCTTTGGAGAGACCAAAGTTCCCTCCATAAAGCAGTAACAGATTGTGTTTGACCTTTGTGGTCTGTAAGTTAAGTAGTTGAGAAGAAAACACATTTGAATTTAACTAAAATAAGCAAAAAAACAATGTCCGGAATGGTTTGAACAGTTTGAACTGTCCACATAATGACAGATGCCACTGCTTTGGGTAACAACCCTCTTGACATTTACAGCATCAGAACCCATTGTCAGCAATTCAACAGTTAATTATGAGACGCTTTTCAGTCAAACCAAGTGTTGGGAGAAAACTTTGAAAATGTGTAAAATTACAGAATACTGAATTCCTGCATCAAAAAGTATTTTCACATACTTATAACTACATACATACAATCAAAATATTGACAACAGAATATAAAATGTGATAATGATTTTATGTCTGTTTTAATGAATTATTTTTAAATGTGCCAGACAAATCTCTGCTCAGTTCTATTCTATTCTATTCTAATACATATTTGTGTGAGTGTTACTTGTATCATGATTGTTAATAAGAAAAGGGTTGTCTATTTATTGTTCATCAGTAAAAGTGAAGCTTGAATTGTGTTTAAGTTTGTGTATGTTCTGTTTAAGTCTTTAAGTGTCAGAGTTCTACATGAGCTGAATCCAGGACACAACTTGGTTTTTCTACAAACGTCTTAGATTCAAGGCAAGGCAAGGCAAGTTTATTTATATAGCACAATTCATACACAAGGCAATTCAAAGTGCTGAACAAAATAAGAAAGCATTAAAATCATAAATAATCACATAACATTAAAAAGAAAGATAAAAATAAAAATCCCTCAGTTGTATGCACAGCTAAACAGAACTGTCTTTAACCTGGTTTTAAACATTGTCATTGAGGAGGCCTGTCTCACATCTTCAGGAAGACTGTTCCAGATTTTAGCAGCATGAATTTGAAAAGCAGCCTCCCCATGTTTAGTTCTGACTCTATTGATGTGATGATTTAGAACAAACAATCTCAGTCAAAAATGGTTTATATTGCAGTTTTTGTGACCTACATTTCATTATCACAAACCACAAATTCAAACTTAATATTTTGAGGGTGTATTCTTGTATTTCAATAATTGCAGCAGGATCTTTTGGCACACAAAACAGAAACAGTATTATTCATCAAATTAAACACAACCACTAATACATCCATCAAAAATATAACAGATGAATAAATACAATGTTTATAAATGTAAACCATACTTTATAAATTTATACCAAACTGACAGAGCATTCCTTTAGTATCATTGGACTCTAATAAACCTCTGACGTGTGGAGATTGACAGGTTCAAAGGGACTTCAAAAATCCATACAAGGAAAATTAACTGTACCATCACTTATTCCATTTCTTTTGAAAAAGACTATAAACCAATTATAAGAAAGCACAATTTTTGTTTGTTGATTTATTACAGATTACCGGCGAGTGGATATTTGCATTCAGAATTTGAGCAAACTGATTCTACTCATAAATAGCATTAAAAATCAAATGTATCCTAATTCTATAAAAATTCCATGTAAAAATCCTTAAGACTGTCACTGGAATGTTCATGCGGGTGTAAAACTCAGTGATGGGTGTTATCTCCTTGTGTGAGAACTAATCATTTTGAGAAAACTAATGATTGATCTATGAAAGCATGTTGATTAAATGAAATGATGAGCCTCTTTAGGTGCGGAGAACATTTGGTGATTGAAGTAAAAGCCCGTTTAACGAGAGAGCAAACTGAGAAAACCACACACACCGTTTTGCCTGTAGTGTAATCCATAATTAAGCCTCTAATTACACTAATAAAAATAATTAAGTGGGAAACCAAATTGTTATCACTAGTGCCATCTACAAACATGCCATTCAATTTAATTTAATTGTCGTTGACTCACTGGAGACTGATCATAAAAAAGCGCCTTATTTGGAGACAACAGCTCGGGTTTTCACGGTTATTGAGACCAGCACAAAGCGATATCATCAGGAAAAGTCATGAACGAAAAAATGTGCAAATATAGAAGTTTCATGCCAAGCGCTCAGCCTCTCTCACTCACACACGTCTTGCAGCGAGAGGCCGATACGTCACCCTTCACGGCCGTTCAAAGGATGGCTCCAGTTTGTCTACTGTTATCTGCCCTCGGACGATCAGATCCATGTGTGGCAGCCGGCTTCTCCGCTGGTGCACACAGACTCTGGGAGGACACACATGATAATTAGTTTTCTGAAGATGTTTGTGAGGATTTTACTGTGATAAACAAGTTGTGATGAAAGAAGTGTCTCAGAAGCAGCAGGTTAACCACAAGATAACATCTAAGTAAATACAGAGTGTAATACCAAACACACAGTTATTGAAGTATGCAAGATGAAGCGTGACAATTTGATTTGAAAGACACTGCAATGTTAAACCTATATATAAATAATCATTTATTTTGTTATTGCATACTTTGCTATTTGACACTTTGGACTGAGAACTGATTGGCTGAGACCCCGTTTAGACGGAGATGCTGCGGAGACGGTGAAAAGCAATATGCAAAAACGACCAGGCTCCTTTTTCAAGTGCACAGCGTCAACACCACAACAGAAAACAATGCAGTTCTAGTGCCCTGCCAGTAGTAGGCAGTGCAACGTTACAGCACGACACACGGGACCCCCACCAGTACAACCACTTCCTCAACAAAATCCTCCTCAGGCCCCTGCAAACAAAGATGTGAAAGAATCCACCAACATTCTGCATTTAACAGCAGCAGCAAAAATGGAAACTGAAACTGCAGCTTTAACTGATTTCGTTTGGAAAAACGAAAGGAGAATTCTCCTCCATCTAGCAATCTAAGCACACGTTAGCATTAGTTGACCCGCCGCCATTGTTGTTTACATTTGTTCTCGGCTACTGCGCATGTCCAAACGTATACGTGCAGGGAAGTGGTGAGGTCATTACAGCCCCTGTATCTGTTCTGTTCCACTCTGGAGACTGTTTCTCAATGCTTGTGTCTTCACTTGAAATACCTTCTCCATGTAAACAGGAGGCCAAACCGATACCAAACTCTAACGTTTTACTGCCTGAGTGAGGGTGGTACTCTCCTTTTCATGTTTCTGTCAAAATACAAACGTGTGAAAACTAGTGACAGTGAGGAACTGGCTACATGGATGTTAACACATAGTTACAATTTGGTGGTTTGAAAGTTAGTTAACCCAGCTTTAATCTATACATTGGGCATATACTGTTCACTGAAAGCAACTTTTGGTGATCACTAGTGATAAAAAATACATCCACCCAATGAAACAAGAAAATAACCAGCACAATTGATCCAACAATTGAAAATAACCAAATAGTCAGCACTTGACAGAGACATGCTACAGTCTGAACCTAAAACAAACGTGGAGCCAAGAATAAATTGCTTGTCTGTATCTATTTGAATGGAGCACTAAGCCATGATTTCTGCCCCAGGGGCAATGAACATGCTCTAAATGCTACAGCTTGCAACAATTTAAAAGGAAACCACCAAACAAAATATTTGACTCAATTCCCAATTTGCTGTTACACATTTGCATTGCAAGAAAGGGGAAGAAAATGAAGATGATAAAAAAATTTATCAATGTAAAACATATTTAATAAACATTGAATACCACCTTTTCAGGGGCATTAGGGGTAAATATCTCCTTTCCAAACTTGCACAATAATGGGTGAGTAAATCCTAAAAGTGGTGGTCTGCGAGAGCCACACTTTATTTGAGGCAAGCCGCTGCTCTGTCGTTACCGCAGCCGTCACCATATCCTGTCACACTCACAACATTAAGCAAAACTGGGGTTTTCTTAAATCACTAAAATTAAGGAAATGATCTACAATTAAGTTAATTGATGCTTCACGGAGAACCATTAAGCACACATTAGACGGCTCAGAGTGCAGCTTAACCGCATGAATTACACTGAGAGGAAAAGACCTCCACAAAGACTGAAACATGAAGTGCAGCACAGGAGCTGTCAGAGGATCAGGCCACACTCAACAATTAGGGAGTCATCTGTGCAACAACTGGAGGCCACACTTGCTCTGGCCACACTGATATTGATACAGAAAATCACTTATTGCCAAGAGTCATGCAGTCTGTCTAGTTTCCAAAGTTACATTTCAACTCCTAGACAATGAAACAGGCTTTTTTGATACATTTAATTTTATCATCCTGAAAACAAAACAAACAAGTTCTGAATGTGAATGATACAGGAACAGGCTCCATTCTTGTCTTACTAAATCAGAAAAAAGGACTGAGCGAACATTCAGGTGGTCCTCCTCGTGCTCACACGTGCCTCGCTCCATTATCCTTCTCAATCACACCCCTCATAAAGTCAGTAAACATGTGGGAGCTGTTACACTCAGCTTAATGGCTATTTACTGTGTTTTGTACACTTCTCATTAAATACATTTTCCACTCTGGAAGAAGTAATGTTTTGGAAAACTCAGTTAAATTAAAGACAAAATCATGCCAGCTCTTGGCACATGTGTCCCATTAATTACTGGCCTCTGTTGGAGACAGAGGGAAGAGTGAAAATGCACTTTCTAACATCAGAGAGAAGAGATGGCTCATGCCGGTGCACAGGAAGTTTGCCTCGGACTAAATAAAAAAGACAAAAAGAGTTCCCCTCCTACGCACTCTTCTGTAGCCACTGAATGGCTCCTTGCTGGGGTCCAGCACGGCCCTGTTTACCAGCTGGAGTACCCCTAACCTTTCCCCTTTGGCCCCAGAGCGATAGAATACATCACAGAGACACGGTCCTGATGAAGCCAGCGGGACGCAGTGCTCTGAAATGTGGATGACAGCAGCTCTGCAGGGAGCACAGGTGTTACAAATGATCCTGGCCCTGAACACAGCTCTCAATGAAGACTTTTGCACAACAAATCACCCCTAATATTCACATCGTTACTTAGAGCCTGGATGAAACTAAAGTCATGTACTTAAATCAGTTCTGAGTGTTTGCGTGTGATGGTCCCATCTGTCCCTATGCTTTGGTTAAAAGGAGGCTCCTGCTGCTCTCTGATGGAGAGCTGCTACACACAGATCCGGTTTCTTCAGCTTTCATCCTGATTGAAGAATGATGTGGCCTCTCAGTGCATTTACATCTCCTTGGAACATACTGAAAAACCGGAGATATGAAGAGAATCGATAAAGCGTATGTGAACAATTACTGTTCTTTTAGCCTTTATTTTAAATCACAGTGAGATGACTTATTGCAACAAGTAAAGAAAAATGCACTTGCAACAGCCTTGTAATCATCAATTTTATAATGGTTAAAGTATTCCTGTTGGATGAATTTGACTGTGCTAATGGAGATGCACAATAAACGAAAAGACGAATAAATATCAACCTTTCCCAAAAAACAATAAGCCATTGGCCGCAATACTCCGTGATAAAAATTCCTATACATCACGTCCTTATGGTTAACCATAAACACAGTAATTGTGGAACGTTGTGAGATGAAATGCACATTCAGACTTTGCATAAATGCATTGATGCCATTTCCAGAGCGCTGGCGTGTATCGGTGTCTGAGAGAGTCTTGTACACTCACGGTGCTCCCTGACCTGGCCTCTGCAGACCCCTTTGTTCCTCGCTGGGACCCTGTGGATAGTCTGGCTCCAGCCGCTTCAAACCATAATTACAAACCTGCAGAATGAGACAATCAACAGACACAGCATGAAAGAGGAGGGTCACCACGTCTGATATGTGATGATGTTCTGCCATTGCCCTGCTGCTGCTGCCTTTAATTTATGTCATGCTGCAACACTGAAAGAACGCCACTTCCCCACTTTTCACAGACAGGTCCAGCTTTAAGCTTGTCACATAACATTATTAGAATATGTACATCTTAAAATAGCGCTTACTTATTGTCCGCTACCTGCTCGCTGCAGGAGACTTTTTAACTTTGCTTGGAATTTACCATAGTGCTGTATTAAGGTTGTACCTTAACTAATTACATACAGTATATTTTCACTGCTCAAAACCTACTCTACTCTACTTTAAGTACCAACTTGGCCCTGGTTTCCCAAATGGGCATTTAGAAGATACAAAATCAATGATACATGCTGAGCTGGTGCTAAAGTGTCTAAACTGCCAGTGACTGGCCAGAGTTCAGTTGAAGGAAATTCCACTAATACTGGTTTGTTGTGGGTAGGTTGCTAGAATACGGTACAAGATGCGTACATTATGCCATGTGAAGCATTTCAGGCAAAGCAACATTTAGAAGAACCAAAGAAAGAAAGCAGCTCCTCCATCAGGAAAGTAACTTCTATAGTTACTAGACGTGTGCTCAACAAAATCTATTCTTATTCAATCATTGATAAAGAAAGGAAATTAAACAAACATGGAAGATTTAATATTCATAGCATGCAGTTCAAGGGGACAATCTGAGTAAAGAGGTTACATTATGAGTTTACATGGCCCTCTGAACCTCGGTCGGAGAAAAGACATTTACCAGTACAGGCTTTTACTAATGTCATGAAATCACTTCCAGCTGCCAACAGCAGGAAATGCTCCTTTCTTCTTCCAACCTCCAGAGCAAAGAGTAGATCAAGCGTGGTGCGTTCGTGAGCATGTCTGTCCTCAGCTTATATCTGTCATAGCCTTCATATATAGCCTAATGTCCTCCAGGTCTGTGGTTTGGTCCGTCTCTCCCAGTCTGCCCTGCCTTCTGCTGCTGTAAGAGCCCCCTATTTACCACTTAACCTTTCAAGAAGTGGTTGAGTAACTTCAGAGGGAAAAGTGATTCTTGGCTTTAGGAGGTGCGAAGAACGCCAGATCAGCATGCACTGATTCCATAATGATGGCAACAACGGCCAAGAGGTCAGGCCCGCATCCACAGAGGTTTTTAAAGGGTCTAACGGACATTTGAGCAGGCTTTGGTCTCAGCCTTGTGAAAGCAGTTTAGTGCAGAGGTAAACAGCCCAGGGCCAGCAATAACAGAGTGGAACTGATTAAAGGAGGAGGAGGAACGGGGAAAAATGAGACAAGGACTGATAGCATCTTTTACCCACCTAAATTATATTAGACAGCTAGAGGCGCTGTGTGTTTTAAATCTCATGTGAAATGTAAACAATAACAGCCGAATATCATGGAGAAATATTTGTGTAATCTGTTGCAGAGCGGGTTGACATTTGGAAAATATATAACCCTTCTGATTGCGATGATTTGCACAATTTTCAACTCTTAATGTCACGTTTTGAAGATCACAAAGTATTACGGTGAAACGGTCATGCAGCAATTTATTCCCTTGGGAAACCTGGATTGAATTAGAGAGAAAACATTTTAATTACATCCCTTAAAGATTCCTGTCAATTCTACTTACAGTCAGACAAAAAAAAAAAACACTTTAAAAGCAACATATTTATTACTATATCCCTGATGTCTAAATGAGTGCAATTGTTCTCGTGTCGGTGAAAAATGGTCTGACAGAATGAACTATACTAAAACCATTCATAAAAGCATCTTGCCGTTTTAGATGTGGGGGACTTGCTGTGGCTGTCCCAGGATGTGGACACGCTGAATTAGAGAGCAGGAATAACCAGCTTTCCCAGTGCTTTACTCACTATTCTTTCAAATTCTTCATCTACAGTGCAGTATTCCATGATGAAATCTGTTGCCAATAAAACTATAAGGGACATTCTTTTCTCGGGAAGTGCCTGAGCAAGACTGGGGCAAAAAACTCTTGAGGTATGGAGTATCACACTACTACCCCAGGACATGGTAAAAACATTTTTCTTTTCATCAGGTTTCAAAGGAATAGCAATTACATGGAGGACTCAGGATGACAAGACAGTGGTGCATGGCAGGAGTTAAGAATGCTGAGGGGCCGAGTGAATTGTTGAGCAGTCTTTTGAGTTTGTACAAAGACTCAATGTTTGCATGTATACAGGGGGCACCACAATTTGTGAAAAATGTAATGGCAGGCTTTGACATTTGTGAGATTTCAGATACAGAGATCAGAATCCTGTTACAGGCTACATATTCATATCTTGCATTCAAATACAACAATAAATCAAGACTAGATAACATTTTTGCAGACCATCCAGTCAACAAACTGAATGCAGCTTTTGTGATTTAGTCAAGTGGGACCATTACAGACACTTTGTGTGTTCTGACGCTGTCGTTAACACTTCAATTTTAGGCATTTATATTATATTAGGTATTTTTTTGATTCATTTACATATTTAACAATTCCAATAGCTGTCTGTTTTTAATAGTCTTTTATAATAAAACATTATTTAGAAGCCAGCACTAATGTTACATCTCATATGATCATATTCTCATTGTGTGTTTATTTCTTTAGCCTTTTAGTATAAAAGTGGCACCAATAGCTCATCTCCATCTTCTCCGAGTCCAGAAAAGGCAGTCATTGTGCGACCGCTCCACTCTCCCGAAGTCAGTTTCCTATTGAGGCAGTGAAAGGGCCTTTGAGGGGCCCCGTTTTGGCTGTGCGGCTCACCTGCAGAGGGAAGACTATGGGGCTATTCTGAGGCACAGCAGCTGCCAGGGCAGAGAGGCTGGCACCCGGTGGGACGCAGAATAGAGACCACGGAGCCTTTCAATATGAAGCCACTTAGTAACAGAAGGCATGTGCCAAGCCTGCAACGCCAGAGTGAAGAGTCATCCTTTGGTGTTAATATTATGTTATTTTTGAGCTACGGCCTTTTTCAACCTTTGTAACTTGGCCCGTCTGCACAAGAATTACCTTTTGTAGTCTTCACGGTTGACACAAAAGTGTAATACGCAAGATTAGTTTAGATATGCCAAGTGTTTTCATAAGTGAAGATTCCCAAGTGAAATGGCTGTAAGCAGGATCAAGCGAAAACAAAACAGACCCACTGCCAAATGGATACCGCTTCTTTATATGAGCTGAAGTTCTTGTCATGCCATAGATCGGCGGATGATAGCGATAGGATCCCAGCGGTGGAAGGCCCCTGAAGAAGCCCTCCACACAATGCCTCTTTTCTGTAGGCCGGCTAGCTCCCACACTGGCGCTAATTTACGCTGCCCTCACAGCAATTTCCACAGTCAGAGAAGTTCAATTGTGTTTTCCAGCTCATTAAGCATCAGCACAACAAAGCTTTCATCTTTTAGCCGGCCATTTTACTTCACTACGTGTCCTCTCCTCTCATCTCCTTCAGTCCTCTTCTGCATTGCATTGTATTTTGCACAGCATAGCATTTTATCATGAACAAAGTAACATCACCTACTTTCATAAACAGACTTACGAAAACATTTAAGACTCCTTTTGGCACTTTTGGCCTTTATAAAGTCTTGAGCATGAAAGTGTCTCTATACAAGGGTAGAGAGAATTTAATGGTTGTTGATTCAGGGGCCTCCTCTGTGCCCTCCCCTTTCTTTCAGTACTTCAGGAGACGACGTGGACTCTATTGTCGTGTAAGAAGAATCAAGTCAGCGTATTTGTTCGGGTTGTCACTGTGCGAAGATCAGAGACTTGGACTCGCATTCCCACACAAACGCAGGTTACCAGCCTAAATGGCCTTAAATAGATCTGTAGCTTCATCACTAGTAGCTAAAATTGTGGTATGTTAAGTCCTTCTTGTCCGGAGAAGTTTTAAATGGTGGCACTAATCAACTAATGGCCTCACTAAAAACTGTTCCCACCGATGCCAGCTGAAGGAAGCATGAAACTTTCATTTTCTCTGCGGTAAACATAAGCTGACTTATCCTCAACTGTAAAATCAATGAAACCAAAACAATCTTTGATGTAAATGTGAACCACAAGCTTTGCAAATGCACAATGTATATGTGATTGACACGCTTTTAATGGACTGCGTGCTGAATTAAATGGATATTTACAAGCCCAAACCATTCACAGCTGATTGACACGCCATTTTTTTTTTTTTTTACATCTCTATAATAGATATTGGACCCAAGATTGACATTTCTGTTTATCAGCAAGAAATATGTGTTACCCTTTTTAAATTCTCTTTTTGGTGCAACAACAAAAAAGTGACAAAGCTTGTAAAGAAAATGTAAAGATAATAAAGGTTGACCTTCGATATATTGCTCTATCCATCAATTATTGAACAATATTAGGGCTGTGATTAAATATTACTTTGATGATCAATTAGTTGGCAAATTATTCATTACTTACGCTCAGGAAGTAATATGATCATTTGCGTTTGTTTGTTTGTTCATCTGTGAGCAACATAACTGAAAAGTTATGGGATCATCTGGATGCACATCATGGATGCAGGATATTTTCAAGTCAGATTAATTGATTGCGGCAGTTGTTTGGATCACAGAAGGCTTGTAAATATGGGATTTTTTTATAGATTTCACATCAAACTAACCTCTTCTTCGAGACGAGATCTAACAAAATTAGTTGTTTACTATACATGTTTATGCATGTTCATGTTATTCAGCAGTACAAACAGCTCTGTTTGGGGCATGCTTAAATCTGTTGTTCAAAAGACAATTCGAAAAGATAAAAAATAACTTTCAATTATCGATTCACTTCTCCTCAAAAGGCCAATATAATTATTGTAACAGCCAGTCCCTAATCTCTGAAGAAATGATACTATTAAGTTTATTTGTATAGCACATTTCATAATAAATGTATACAACATATAAAGACATGTTTATAGAGCCTCAGCCTTGATACAAATGTGAATGAGGGGAGTTCGGTTTCTCCAGCATTAGTCCAGTGTCATCACTCACACAAGCACCGTTTACATGCGTTATCAAGGCCGGACAATGGAAAGACTACCACAATTTGACATGAGCCGCCATGGACCATACTCATTATAGTCTTCATGTGAGTGTCCTCTGCTGTCAGCACCGTCTCCCAACCCAGTCTAAACCATCTCCCTCCGCAGGACCAGGGCGGGTGTCCGATTCCCGGCCTGCTTCTCAATTTCCCTCAAACCACAACAAAACAACAATAATATGTCTGTGTTCACCTGTTATCACTCGATGTTGTAGGCTGGGCTCACTGTCAGACGCCATGTGGAACGCGCCTCTGTGTCACCAAACTCAATATCCTACACACAAAACAGAGCAGGAGCTGTCAGCGCCTGTGCCTGCAGGCGGAGCAATGCTAACACACACAGGATAAATGAAAAGCACTTAGGCGATCAACAGCCCATCAGGTAATTACAAAGGACTCCCGCATCATCTGCCACACAGGTCCTGCTGGTTGTGTTCGACAGGAAAGCACTCAGATTTGATTCTCTTGACAAACGGTGAAGAGACTTGTTTTGTGTTGCAACAAAGGTTAGAGATACAATCTCTGTACGTACATTGTTTTTACACACAGAAACGTCTCTAACGAAATTAATATTGTGGCAAAGTTATCTTCTAAATATGGCAATTTAAGTCTGTATGATTCTTCTTAGAGAAATACACACACACACACTGATTTAAATTGGAAATACCTACCGCTGTAATTCATACAAGTTTTCTCGCTCGCTGTCACATATTTAGAAATAAAACTGTCCCAGCTCTCACCTCAGCCAATCAGAAAAAGATAATTTGTTGTGGTTCACAAAATGTTATTAAACAAGTACATTTCTGTAGAAGCAAAAAAAAAAAAAAAATAAAGTGGAAAATTAAACAAAATATACCTAACAAAAATACATCGGTTCTCTTTGTTAATTGTATCCTTCTGTGTTTTTGTGTACCTTTATCCTTTTTCCTTGGCAGAAAATATAGATAATCTGGTTGTTTTGATGACATAAGCACCACTGTTTGATGTCACATTGAACCAGGAAATGAAGTGGATATTTAAGTACATAATAAGCTCAGTGGGTAGTCTCAGTCTATGGTTGTGTCACATGGAACCATGTAACAGGTTTTATTCCATGTTTATTTAGAGTTTATTGCTTAAGATTTAATTTATTTAATTTGTATTCATAAACTTGGATTATTGAAATCACGTAAAGTGAAAAAACTATAAATCCTAACCTGTCATTAAAATGCCAAGAAGTGCATGGCCTGTAATAAAATATTCTGTAAAACGTGGGAGAAATGAGACAGGATCTGGAACAGGAAACTGCTCACATTTACATTGGAAATTAGACTTGACTTGTCCTCTGTAGCTCTCAACAAGAGACCAATTTCAAACCCAATAGGTAAAGTTGACCTGGTCACTTCCCGGTATGACCACTGTATATATGATACTAAAGGTATGGTAATCGACACTTCATTCTGGCTGTAAATGGAAAGAGATTTTTATTTTTGAGGACAGCAACATTTCTTGAATGTACATGTCCATTGAAGTTTTTGCATACCAGTGGACAGATCTATAATGCAGTACTATGCTCCACTGAGAAAGCCTCAGTTTCTTTTAAAGACGATACACTTTAACCACAAGTTTCCCGCTGTGAGTTTCATAAATGTTTATCCCACATGAATCTAGCTCCTTCCACAAAGTTTGCTTAGTTTAGTTGGCACTGTGCCAATATTAATGAAAGGAAAGCTTAGAATGAAATATAAAAAACGTGATTCAACATGTTGACTTCAAAGGAAAAGTCTATAAGAAAACCACAATTACCTCTTAAAACACTGCGTGTTGGCGGGAAAAAGGGAACAGTGCTGGGATATTACTGCTATTTTCAAAGTGATTTAATATCAGAGTGTATCAAGGAACATGAATGATTACAACTATAGATGTCAAAACATTAAAATAAATTCAACTGTTAAGTAATTCAACCTGGAAACGGTCACATTGATTTTGGTTCTGGACTCAAATGTCCATGAGTCACAGCCGGAAAACTTATTTTGGGTCTGGAGTGTTATGTTTCCAGAAGCTTTTGCAAGATTTCATTAGGCTAAAATCAGTTGAAACTCCAAATTCAAGGAAAAGTAAAGTAATTTGCATTGGTATAAAGATACTGTGTAAACATACCAAATTGCTGCCGTTATTGGACAATTAATAGCTGCCTGGAGATGTATGGCTGCGGAGTGGGCCAGAGTGAGCAGACAGGCGCCAGTCGCAGCAGGATCAAAGCAGAAATGTACCTCAGGGAGAGAAACAGTTAACTCCATTTAACCAATTGTTCCACAAACACACTGCCCAAAAACACATCCCCTGGGATATAAAGGGCCTATTGAATTCCAGTGAGTTATTAGGTGATTTTAAAGAGCAGTGAAGTTAACCCAATTTGACCAATTTCTGAATAACCTCAGAGCCTTCTTTACCTTCTTGAACACAATAGACTGAAATATGGTCCATGCACATTAACCATTGTGATTTTAGGCAATGGCCTTTAACGTAAATTAGCTTCAGTAAATCACCGTCTCAAGAGTAGTGATAATGTGAAAGGTTACAGATGTTTTGTCACAGGTTATTTTCACAAACTTTATTACAGAACTATTTGAAAAACAAAAGTTATAAAATACACATGAATGCAGCCTTGATTAGAAGATTGAAATTCCAAAATGCACGGTTTCTGAAAACAAAATAAAGTGGCTTGATTTGATTGACTTGAAGCTTGCTTGAATAAACCATTTGAAACAGGCCAATATAAGCCTAATACAAGTTTGAAAAACAATAACTTAACTATGTATTAATCCAACTCGTTCCATGCTCTCATAACTGTTACATCAATAGTTTTAACAAGCATGCACACTTTAGGCCTCTGTCACATCTTGAGATCAGCCAATCAGCTCTCAGTATGGAACATATGTTTTCTAATAAGCTTACAGAGCATGTTGCCTGATTGGTTCACAAATTGTTACTTAAACAAGACTCTTCCTGAAGGGACAAACAACATGTAGTAATGAAACGAATAAGTTAGTTACCCCAGCTTTAAAATAATACTTTGCTGTGCACTTTGCAACAACAAACATTTCATTTTTATACTTCCTCTGTAAACAAGTAAAAGCCAGATATAAACAAGTAGAAAGGCGGGGCGGTAGAAAGGGAAAGGCGTATGCTATTATTTTAAACAAAAAAATTGCCTAATCTGTCAAATACCACAAAACTGTTTTTTATTTTTGGCCAATCGCACAGCTGCATGATGCTCTGACGTAAGCGCGCCACACAGTCATTGGTTGGCGGCAGGATGAAAGCCAAAGTTGACGCTCGAGCGTGGGACAGACTCAGCGTGAGCAGAAGTTGAAGTTTGCTGCTGCTGTTCATCCATGAGGGATCCGTGGAGCTGAGGCGTGTTTTCTACCCTGGTTGTGCGGAATACGTCCCTGCAAAGAGTTTGTGGAGCGGACTTTATGGCACCACTGTTGTGCGTCATGAATCCTTCGCAAGGATCTCCCGCGTCGGCTCCAGCTGGGGACCCTCTCACAGAGTCTCAAATGTGCACAGAAAGCAGCGAGCTGGATCTATCGTCCGCCAGAAGATGCAAAGTAAAAAGTGCGGACCTGCCCTTTAGCGTGGAGTCCCTTATCTCCAGGACGCCGAGCAGAAGTGTGAGTTGTGTCCGCCCCGAGGAGAGCGCATCACACAGGGAACTTCTGCGGCCCAAAGCTGAAGCTGTGGATCCTACCGACACTGACACAGGGCACTGGATGCAGCCCCGTTACACGTCCCCTCCAAGTAAGAGAAACTAAATCTTACTGTATTTTGCATTTAGGCCTATTATATTGCATTGCCCCTAAAACATAAAGCGCAAATGATCTAAAACAAACAGAAAAGCTCTTGGCTATAATGGTACTTATACATTTCTTTTTTATTGTTTTAATATTTCTTACTTACCTTTTAGGACTGTCCAGCCCAGCCGGGTGTAACCTGCGCAAACACAAGAACAACAGAAAACCTCGCACTCCATTCACCACGTCCCAGCTGCTGTCACTGGAGAGAAAGTTCCGTCAGAAACAGTACCTGTCCATCGCAGAGAGAGCAGAGTTCTCCAGCTCCCTCTGCCTCACAGAGACCCAGGTCAAGATCTGGTTTCAAAACCGCAGAGCCAAGGCCAAGCGCCTGCAGGAGGCCGAGCTGGAGAAGATCAAGCTGGCCACAAAGCCTCTCCTCCCGGCGTTCGCCTTCCCTTTCGCTTTAAACGCTCCGCTGAGTCCGCCGGCTCTGTACGGGGCTCACGGCCCGCGGCCAGCGCTGCCTGTGCCTGGACTATACAGTGGACCCTATGGGATGTACTACCTATCTTAAAAGTCACTCCACATTCAGAATGTGCCTTGAACCATAACTCAACAACGACAAATAGTTGGACAATAAGCAATTTCCTGATTTTGTGTTGCAGGATAAACTTTTTTAATTACATGGTTACATCAACTTATGTCCAGTGCAAAAGGCAATGCCACTAAGCTCATAATGCCCTATTGCCTCCAACATCTTGCTCACACTGTCTCAGTGATTTTTCACAAACTTCATTAGGAAAAAAAAAAATAGAATTAACAATTTAAATTATATAAAAAATATATCCAGCCCACACGTCTCAACTGAAAAGATGAGCTTGCATATTTTTCTGTCTTATTTTGCATCTGGTCTAAGATGTTAATCAAAAAGGCATGTTGTAAGTGTCAGATGGCTCAAGGTCAACTTTTGCACATATTTTCAGATCTTCCAAGTCAATTACAGTCAGTTTGAGCTACGCTGAAGTCCGTCATTAAGGCTGTTTTTGACTGATCAGATCAATGGAACATCACTTCTAAATGTACATTGTATTTTATATTTGTATGAATTTTGTACAATTAAAGAGCAATTGTTGAAAGTATATATTAAAAAACGTGTTTTGTATTTATTACACAAACGTTAAACACAACAATGTCCTTAGTCGAGCCAAAAGTGTTGGACAGTATGCTTGTGTAAAAAACAGGTACAGTTTGTACACACATTTCAGAACTACTTACAAAGACAGACCAAAGGTTACTTTCTCTTTCCTTGACGTCCTCTGAATCCACGGACTGAACCTTGACCAAAGCAAACATTTGAAGGAACCCTAACAGAGAAACACATATTAGTTTTGTAAAGTGACTTTGCAACAGTTTGCCAACTGACCTGTAAGAGTATTGAGGTTTCGCTGTAACAGCTGGATCAGGGGCTATGGGAACAGATGTCTCCATTGGGCTGGCATTTTCCTCTGAAATGTTCATTTTAACAGGCTCTAGGTCTTGGCTTGATGAACCACTGCAGTCAACTTCACATCCACCCTCAGGCTCACACAGCTCCATCTCTGTGCCACTCTGTGCTCTCTTGGACCTTCACAAAAATATCAAGATTATTGGCTTTTATGTCTATAGGTCAAAAACCTATGCATTATTATTAGTAATTGTTCTCATGATTAAATACCAGTTGCATTATTCTTGGGTTTTGGCTTCTTGCATAATATCTTAATTTCCTTTTCCCATTCCAATATTATATCGTACGGTTTTACATTTTAAATCATAGCTCATACTCAATCTCAAATGCGTCTTAATATAATTATTTATATAATATATATACACTTATAATGGAAACCATTGTTTAAAATAATTGTTATTGTGAAGAAAATATACAATTGTTAGAATTTAGCGGTATTTAAATTTCATAGTTGGAAAATTACAATTGACCTTGAGCGTGCTGCCACCTGGTGGAAAAAAACATAAACATTACCTCGAATCTTTTTTTATTTTATCAAATCTGAAGTCTGGTGGATATTTGTGAATATTTATTAAGTGGTCCTTTCTGTCCTTTGTTGTCCTAAACTTCAGTCCACAGCCCTCCACCAAACACTGGTACTATGTGAAGAAAAAGACAATTAAAATTGTTTAACTTTCATAGAAAATATGTACATACAGTAGAAACTGGAAGTGTACATACACTCACTGTGTTAAAAGATACATCTTAATGTCGGATATTAAACTTGTAGAAAGTAATATACATAATACAGAAGAATTACGTCACTCAATAATAATGTTGGTAAAATAACTTTAAATGTAAACTCCTTCTACTGTAATTTATGTTCATATAAAAAGTTACCATGTCTTGTTTGAGTGTCAAAACAGCAAAGAGAGAGTCGTGCCACTCCTGTATGTGAATGTCAAGGAGGCGAGCGGTGGGAAGGGAGCGACGGCACATGCAACACACATGTCTGTGCAGTGAGTTATAATGGTGCTCGTACTCGGGCAGAGCTTGAAAAGTTGCAGAACAGCCTGAAATGTGGCAAGCAAACTCTGCCACCCTAAATAAAGAATCATAGAATTAGAACTATTACACTCAAGTTAACTTGGTTTGGCAGTATATTATATTGTACCTAAGCGAGGGCTCCTCATCTGCTGCTGAGATGTAGAGGTTTTGCAAGTACATGTGTCTCTGAATGTCTCCATCCTGGGGAATACACAGGGTACATTAACTTGTCCAGTACACAATGAACTAGTTCATTTCTCGTCCTGTTTGGTAATTGTTATAAACGGTGTTAGGGGGTAACTAAATACTTACAATACACGCATTATTCAAAATGCTAATCAAAAGTGGTATTTAGAATACAATTACTTAGTTTAAAATAGGAATGCAGTAAAGAGTACGATATTCCCCTGCATTTGAACTATTCCTCAATGTCACTAGGACGTGACATCACTATGGTGCTTGTTTCGAGGGGTTGGGGACACCCACACAAAGATGGGGAGAAAATATTGACAATAAAACATCAATATAAATCTCCTTACAATATAAATTCCACACAAAAGGCCTTAAAGTGGTGAATGTGAGTGTGTTTATTCTTTTAAATGACACACACGACATAGAAGTTATTTTAATCCAACGCCGCATTTTGACATTATTAAAAATGCAAATGAGCAAAATACAGTACTTTGATTGGACCATCTATACAACATTTAATGCAGGAATTCAGTATTGTGTAACGGAATATATTTTTTTAAATTCTCTTCAACAATGTTTCTAAAAAATTGCATTCCTTCTCGATATTTGAAGTACAGTTACCTCAAATAACTCGTGGTCCTTGGGCAGGTGTATCACTTGAGGATTGAAGTTGAAGGGGTTTCCATCATTTCCCTCGGTTTCACTTGACGTAGGACAGTTGTCATCACAGCTATTGCCGAACACGTGTCTATCCATCACAAGATGCGGCTGTAACATAATGAAATTACGATTTAACTTCTTCTTCTCAAGACTTCTCTTGTTTTGAAACATCCATCCTTGTCAAAAGTGTCCATGTGTGGCGCAAACTTATGACGTCATCACTGGCTGCCTTTTACACTCGGATATGGAGCACTACTGCCATCAAGCGATGAATATATAAATTACATTGTTGGATGTCTACTTGTCTGGTTTGAGTTTAGTCTATGGTTTAGACCAGCCATTCCCAAACTCAGTAACACCGAGGCCCCCTTAAAAATCTGACGGGTCTGCGTGGCCCCCCAAAATAATAACCAAGAAGACAAGATTAAGAATAGGCTCTTCTGGTTATTTTATTTTGGGGAAATAGCCTCTGCTACAAACATTGTAATACAAAAATGATTACAGTGGATTATTCAAGTCAAATAATGAACACAAATATTTTAATATTACAAACAAAACATTATAATTTTAACATTAAATAATTATATTATTATTATTATTATTTTTATGACCTCCCGCGGCCCCCCTGCAGTACCCTCGCGGCCCACCAGGGGGCCGCGGACCCCACTTTGGGAGACACTGGTTTAGACTGTTTAGACCTAATTTAGACTATCTACGATAAGTCCATCAGGTGGAGACACGGTATGATCCATTGATACAATTCATCGATTTTTTTTAAGTTGAGTTACCTACATTTTCTGAATAATATGTGAACAGTCATTAATGTAGTCTTCAACAACATTAATGTTTATTCAACTTCTTGAAAATCATTGCATTTTGAGAATACTTGAAATAAGCTCTGTAAGGTCCCGTTTGACCCTTTGGCCTTTGGGTGAGGTTACGGTGGTCCTACCCATAGACTAGTCCCACCCCAGCTTTAACTACCCGTCAAAACTATTGATGAGTCCATTTTGAATGTGAAACAGCTAACACTAAACATTCTTCCGAACCACAAAAAACTGGACATGGACTGAGCCATAACTGTATTTATTTCTCCATAGGCTGTTTCTGAGTTCCTCCGTGAGTCATGTATGCATAACGCGTGAACAAATGCTAAGTCTCAGGAAATTACACGACAAAGAGAGAGGCGGAGTGAGGGAGGTGGGCAGTGACGGGACCTCAATATCTGTCTCACGCTCCTGCTCACCATGTCAGTTCCATCCGTAAGACCAGGACAACATGCAGGAGACAGGATGCATCATATGGATTATTTTCTCCTTGTGGGGTACGTGCCATTCATTAATTCTTCATTCATTGTTTTGTTTAACTTTGTATGATAATCTCTATTGTTGTGATACTTCGTTAGGAAGAGTTGAGTGTCATATGAGGAGTATGCCTCATGTTATGAAGTACAAAACAGTCATACCTCAGAAACTGGGATCGCAGAATGTCCACAACTCAGAATTAAACCAGGTAAATGATGGTTCAAATTCTATCTGTTTCAAATGTTTTTATTTATTTTTATTTTTTTTGAAGGGGGTGGGGGGGGGGGGGGGGGGGTTGATTGTAAATTGATAGTAGATAATATGACCAACACTTCTAACCCCACAGCAACTTCTGGACGTAATGAGGTACTCCTTGTTAATTGAGGCACAGAACTACACTCTTCACCTTATGAGAAACATGTAAGAGATCATTCCAATGGGTAGATTTTAAATAAAGTGAATGAATAAGTGAATGATAATTATGCACAACTTTGTTCTTACAGAGATCTTGTTGGGGGAAACTTTTCTGTAACACATTACTCAGAGAATGGCATTGAAATCACAACGTACCCAGACTTCACAGTATGTGCCTCTTTCTCAAATATGTTTTTACATGTATAACATCTATTGTGTATTCATTTGTTTTTATGGGTGCTGGAGCCTCTATGGTTCCATTTGTTGCACTATCTATTTATATCAAGAGAAGAAATCTTAAGATGTGGGTGGTGATTCAGCGTTGAAACATGTAAAATGTACTATCACACCATTCTGACTGAGACTGTGCAATGTCTGCAATTCCGATCAAGTGTTAAATTACAAAAAAATTGCTTACCATAGATATTTAAATATTGAATACTTTCTCATGCAGAGATGGACATTCATTGGTGTTATATGAAGTAAATTTTGTGTAAACCTTTTTTGATTTGTACAGAATCACTGCTATTATCATGGACATGTGGTGGGAACTGCGGATTCTTCTGTTAGTGTCAGCCTGTGCTCAGGAATAAAGTAAGTAAAAACAATAACATAAGATATATAGCACTGTTTCCGTATGTTGAGGACTGTAAGGTGGATGTTCATGCCTATAATGTATTATTTATATATTATTCATTTTTTCCCACAGTGGGTTTGTACGGCTTCAGGACCAGACGTACCTCATTGAACCTCTGACAAATTGGGACAATGGCCCCACATCATCCCAGACTGACGAGGGTCTTCATGCCGTTTACAACTACAAACACCTGAGGACCAAAAGAGGCACATGTTCCCATGGAAACACCACCACGTTCTACGATCATGGCGGCCAGCCGTCTGGATTGTTCCAGCTTGGCAGTCTGGTATGGACACAACATTTAGACAGAAATTATGTCAGTTACATTTATCATCTTTTATGCTGTTAGATGATAGTTGTACTGGTTTGTAGATGTAAGTTGTGTCCAGGATGTAATCAATGTCCAAAGTATTCATAACATGCAATAACTATTTCAATTTGCCTCCAACTCTTGGTTTTTGCCAACAGAAAAGCAGATCTCATTCCAAAGGCAAAGGTATTTCAAAACCAAGGATTGTGGAACTAGTTGTGGTCATCGACAACAAGGAGGTCAGTTTTTCTCATGTATCCTTTTCAAACAAAATCCTGATTGAACATTTATATTGTATATTTTGGATATTGTTCAGAGCATATTTAGTTAATCAAGATGATTAACTGATAGATAAACCTTAACCTATCATTATCTCTTTTCAGTATAAAAAGATTGGAAGTAAGAAGACTGTCGAGGCTCGTGTGCTGGAAGTTGTGAACCATGTTGATAAGGTATGTTTTTAATTACGAGTATGTTATAGACGCCAACACTGTATTTCCACTTATTAAATGTATCTGTTCTGTTTCATTACTATTGTCTGTAACGGGCTCTGTACCAGGACAAGTAGTGATTGTTAAAAAAAAGCTTCACACCTCAAATGAAAGATTATCACATCTCACACTGTCCCCGTTGCCTATTCTGAGATGAGAATACATCAGTTACATGAGACAGAGCTCAGAATTGATTATGTGAAATTATATGCAGTCAATTCTATTTTTGTTGAACATTTGTGTTTTATTTTTTCATTATATTATCTTATTTTTATTTTTACTCTGTGGCAGCTTTATAGACCCGTGGGTGTTCGTGTGATGCTTGTAGGGATGGATATCTGGTCTTACAAAGATCAGATAGAGGTCAGCACATCTCCAGAGGTCACACTCAGCCGCTTTTTAGAGTGGCGCCAGCAAAGACTTCTGCCCAGAATCCAGCATGATAACGCACAGTTTATCACGTATGATGAATGATTTTTTAAATTTCTATCTTTACATACTGTATATAGTATTTCAAATTCTACTTTTTCTTTTGCAGGGGCGTGGATTTTGATGGAACCACTGTCGGATTAGCAAACACAAATGCAATGTGTACATCAAAGTCTGGGGCTGTAAATGAGGTCAAATTCATCTTAATGAACATGTTTAGTTATCAATTGATAACAACATTTATTTCCAATTGTCTTAACAACTATGTTGACATCTTGCATTCAGGATCACAACAGTATCTCCATCGGGGTGGCCTCAACAGTAGCACACGAGATGGGTCACAACCTGGGTTTGTCCCACGATCATGAAAACTGTCTTTGTGGATCATCAACATCAAAACAGGGCTGCATCATGTCTGAAAGTGTGGGGTGAGTGTTTCTAATAAATAGTTTAAATAGTGAGCAGAGCATTAAGTAAACCAGTGATCATTCCACATGCCGCTTCTTATCAGTTTTACTTTCTTCAGTGTTGTTTATCCAGAGCTGTTTAGTAGCTGCAGTCAACAACAACTTAGCATGTTTCTGGAAGAGATCAACCCTGAGTGTCTGCTTAATAAGCCTTCGACGACTCGCATATATGGAGGACCTGTTTGTGGAAATGCTTTTCTTGAGGCTGGAGAGGAGTGTGACTGTGGCACTGCAGAGGTTAAAAAACTTCACTATATTTAAATTCAAGAATAATAATCCATGGCTATTACAATAATGTATGTTGTATTTATTATAGGAATGTAATAATCCCTGCTGTAATGCCACTACCTGCAAATTGAAAGCAGGAGCGCAGTGTGCAGACGGAGCATGCTGCCATAATTGCCAAGTAAGTAACAACTGATACATTTAGTGTGTGGATGAGTGAATCACACATTTCTGAATGTGTTACCATGCAGCTAGACAATGTCTGACTGTACCGCCTGGCTGTCATTGGAGAAAGGACACAATATACAGCATCACTCCATCTGTGCTTCACTCCTCAGCTCAAAGCGACTGGCAGTTTATGCCGTCCAAAAACAGGAGACTGTGACCTGGCGGAGTACTGCTCTGGACTGTCAGCTTCCTGTCCCACTGACGCCTACACTCAGAATGGTCTGTCATGCCATCATGGACAGGGTTATTGCTACAATGGTCAATGTCCTTCAAGGAAACAACACTGCAAGAGACTCTGGGGACCAGGTATATTGCATCTAACGTTTGCTGTCCAGCAAATAAACACATTTTGTCATGTAATATTTGTCATTCAACTCAGATGCTGAAGTAGCTGCCGATGTCTGTTTCCACCGCAACGGAAATTGTAAAAAGACTGTCTTTGGTCAGAGATGTGCCGGCCAGTATGTCATCATAATGAATTGCAGACATATTTATTACATTATTTTGTTGTTGAAATCAACCACTTTTTTAAACACAGAGATCAATCATGTGGCACACTATTCTGCACTGGAGGCTGGGCATTTCCAGTGACGTCAAAAAAGTATTTTCTCAGCATTGGGAATAACATGTGCAATGAAGCAACGATGAATCCTGAAGACAACTACCCTGCTGACATGGGCTTAATTCCCACTGGAACAAAATGTGGAAGCAACATGGTAGAAAACAATATTGTAAATGTTCAGTTTATTTGAGTTACTCACAGCAACAAAATACTCAAATGTGTGTAACTTCCTTCTAGGTTTGCTATAATCAAAGGTGCCAGGCTATGAAATATATCAAAGTGTACGGACCTAGTGACTGTTCAGACCAATGCAATAACCATGGCGTAAGAAAAGTATTATTTTCCCCAAAATGGAGAACTATACAGTAAACTAACTTATGGCACATTACAGGTGTGTAATCATGAGAGGAAGTGTCACTGTGACCCCGGATGGGCCCCACCTTACTGTGATGTGCAACAGACTGAGCTGCCTGAAGGTAAACATGTCCACATGTACCATTACACAAATGCACACACTGTTCTTTATGAGGAAATGTCTTGTGCAACAATAAGAGGAATTGTTTTTGACCAAAAAAAAAAAAAAATGTGTGAGTAATAGTCGCATGCTAAAAATGTGTATACAATAATTGGTATTTGTGTACACAGAGTCTCGTGTGGTCTTGACAGTTTCTTTGGCAGTGGGAGCACTTATGTTGCTTGTATTGGTCATTGGGAGCTTGATGTGTTGCGTCAAAAAGCACCAACCCAAAAAGAGGTAAAATGTCCTTTGTTCTTCAACATGTGTGTTATTTTTTTACTGACATTTACAATTTGTTTTAGATGTATCCAGTTGACCTCTGGCCAAACAAATCCTACGTTTCGATCAGGAAGTGTAAAAAACAGCCACTGTCAAGTGCAGAGATCCTTCATTAGTCCTCCAACATTTGTGGAATCTTCATCCTCTCAACTTTCCAAACCTTTGTCCTATGCTTCATCTCGAGCAGCAACAACAACAGCATTTCTACCCACAAGAGCAGCTCCAGAAGTGAGTTTTACAACATACTGCTCTCTGCCCATATGTCAACATGTTTATGAGAAAATTATTGTTTTTATAGTTTTATGTTTTAACCCTTGATAACGTTTCATGAGCTAGACCACGCCTAAGAAAATGGGTGCAACAAAACGACAACAAATATATTTTCACATACAAAATGAGCTTGAGGTGAGTTGCATGGTTGTGGGATCGGCCAGCCATTTAGGACCTCATCCTCTAGGAGATTGAGGGTTAGGTGTATGTCAGAAGATGAGGGACGGTGGTTCAAGAGACCAGAGCCAAACTGTGTTGCTTTGAGCTCTCTTTAATATGCTTCACTGTGATAAAAGCAAGTTCAGTGAAGATGCAAAAATGAATTGCTTCATATCAAGGGATTTTACTTCCCCTCCAGAGCAGTTTTCATCAAACTATTAGCGTCAAATGTTACAGTGTGAGTGTATCATGATCATATACTTTTTTTTTCCTATTTTACAGCCACCTAAGAAAGTTTTTAATGGACCAGAAACATCACAGTTTTTACAGGTAAATCATATTCTTTATTTTGTTATGTAACATGTGTTTCTTTCAATATATTTTCATTTTATGCAGATTGTTAAACCTCCACCTATTTCTACGAAGCCTGTTTATTCTTGGGTAAGGCTTTACATATGTATTTATTTAACTGTTTTGAAGAACTTATTGATCAATTATTTCTAAATGTTATTTTAAGACCAAACCACTTCCACCATCCAGACCTCTTCCACCACTAGTTACCACAAAGCCAAAGCCCTCAGTGCCTCTTGTACAGTTGAAGCCCTGTTCACGTGAATTGCCTCATACTCAGTTGGTAAGTTATAGAGTATCTATAGAGTATGGGTCTAGTGCTTGTGTAAATTTGTGAGACGTAAACAGTGAAGTTAAAGCAACAGATGCATTCACTATTTCTTTTGTAGGTTTCTGGGAGAGTTGGTCTGATGCCTCCAAACAGGCCCAGATGACAGAGGAGATCCGACAGTGTGCTATAAACAAGGACAGAGCGATCTCTTTAGGACGTCTGTTCTTGATGCGTGGACTTTCCATAAACTGCTCTTCAGATCGACTGTGGTCATTTAGAGACCTGTTTATTATGAAAGGTCACTAATGATTTTGCCTGTGCCTCCTGGTTGTGATTATTCAATGGGGCTTACTGCTAGTTCTGGGCAATATTTTTGGTGACATGCTTCCAAGCTTTGAAATGCAAAATGACTGCATGCTGCTATGATGGTTGATTGAATTTTTTTCAAGTATGAACATTTTTATGATATTTAATAATTGCACTATTTCTATTAAGGATTTATTGGCTGGCACTTTTCATATTGATAGCCTTTTATGTGGTAAGCAGAATTGAGGCAGGTACGCAAATATTGCACTCTTGTTTTATACAAATTAAATACTCTAAAAGGAAAGGAGTTCAGAAAGACTAATTATAATAAATACAATGTATTATGATTATAATGATCACATATTGTAATTATAATCATATTATTATCATAATTATTATTACTAACTTATTATTATGATTATTTTGATTTTAATTATTAAAAGAATAATAATTATTATATAATGTATTTTAGACGTATTCTGGTCTTTCAGCCCGAAGGTCGTGGGTTGGAGCCCACCACGAGACCTTCTCAACCGACTCCCACTGATGTCTGCCATTGTTGTGTCCTTGGGCAAGACACTTAACCCCACTTTCAGCCCCCGCTGAAAGATCAAGGCTGTGTCTTCAGGCAGCCATCCTCCTGTGGACTGACGGTCACTGACCACCTGCGGGAGGATCAGTGCGGGGCTGGTGCTCTGTGAATTGTGTGGCAGCAGATTGCCACTCCTGACCCAGAAATGGACAAAGGTTAAGAAAATGTATGTATGGAGATTGTTTTCTAGATAAATGCATCTGTTGGGATGTTTGCTGTTTTGCTGGATTGGTAGATCAAGGGAAAATGCATTTCCTGTACAAGAGTTGGATTTGTATTTATAGTACATTTTTATGTTTGGTCAAATAAATGCCTTAATCAACACTTTTAGTGACTCTGTTCTATTTTATGTTTTCTTATTATTCATGTTTTTAATCACCCGAAGACCTTTATCACTAGCTAATTCTATGACAAAGCTTCTCCACGGATTGTCGTTGCTAGGCAACGCTATCAACAACATGAAGTTAATTGAGAGGCTAACCAGCTAGCATTAGCCAAGAGGGAAAGTAGCATAAAAGATACTGAAATCAATGTCACTTTAAATAATGGCGCGAGAACTGAATGAGGAGGAACTTCAGGACTTGTACGCCTGGATAGATAAGATACCTCTGTCGAGGCTAAAGAGACACATCGCACGGGACTTTAGCGATGGAGGTAACATCCGCTGCAGGTTGAATGGCCTTATTTATTGAATAAAAGCCAGCTAGTTAACTAAAACATAAGCTAGTTAAGATAGGAAAATAACAGGGGGAGGGATGCTTTTGCAATGCCGTTCTCTTGACATAATCATGTATTCTTCCGTTTGCAGTGATGGCTGCTGAGGTTGTGAAATATTATTTTCCCAAACTTGTTGATCTACACAACTATGTTCCAGCAAGTGCTACACCACAGAAGCTCAGCAACTGGCAGCTTCTAAACAGGCAAGGAACATGAACAAAAACATTTTGAAGTTACTTATTTTTATCAGAACTTCAAGATCTCATTCATTCATTTTCTACCCCTATTTATTAAACCCCTTCTGGGTGGGGGAGGGAGCTGCTACCCAATGCTCCTAGTACCAGTCCCTCGCTGATCCTCCGGCAGGTGGTGGGTCCACAGGAAAATTGCTGCTTCTCCGCCTTGTTATTTCAGCGGGGTTTCGGGCAACGTGGGGTTAAGTGTCTTGCCCAAGGACACAACGCCAGCAGACATGAGTGGGAGCAAGTGGCTTTGGGCAGTATGGGGTTAAGAATCTTGCCCAAAGACACAACGATGGGAGAAGCTGAAGTAGGTCACGTGGGGGAATGAACCCATGACCTTGAGGCCCGAAAGTCATGCTCTACCAACTGAGCCACTGTCACCCCAAGATTTAGTAAGGGCAAACGGGCCAGTATGCAGAGACTTAATGGTCTAAGAGGGGCAGGATGTAAGAATCTAATTTTTATGAGATAATAACACACATCCATGGTACAATTCAGTTTTACAGGTATGCACAAACATTAGCCAGACTGTTCATCACTTTTAGTTAATCTTATCTGAGTTTCAAGTATTTGTGTATAATGTGCGATACAAATTATTATTCATATTTTTAGTATACCAGAAAAGAAACTGTACACTGTTATTAACTTGAGTATATTTTACTTATTGCAATGTTTTTGTGTGTGTTTGAAAAGGAAGGTGTTTTCCAAACTAGACTTTCAGGTGATCGAGGACACAGTGAACAAGATTGTACTGAGCACTCCTGGAGCCGTTGAGCCAGTTCTAAGCCTCCTCAAGGAGAAAGTAGATCGAAGACCTGATCAACCAGAGCAAACAATGGTCTGTAGGTTTCACATGAAAGTATTTATATGTCATATTAAAACATATTTTTCTACGTTTACACAGGATTTGCAATATTATGACACCCGGAATCAAGGGAAAGTCTATGAGGGTAATGACTTTCCACAACTATTGTATATAAGCAGTTCACACATATCTTTATTTAGAACACTGAGCATAAATTACTAACTACAAGTAATTTATACATGGTTCTTTTGTCGCAAGAACCATGCATTCCCTCTTCTTGTAATTAATAATCTATGCTCAGCGTTCTAAATAAAGATATGTATGTCCTATTTTAGGGCTGGATTTGGATAAAGAGCTGACAAACACCAAATCAGTATTTATAAATACATTTGCAAGTACCTCAGAGAATCACTCTATGTTAAGCATTGTAAAAGTTTGGTAAATCTAGAAGATGTGATGACGGCACTGATCTAAACTGAGCTACATTTCCTGCCTGGAGAGAAGGTCATCTGGGCTGTTTCTCGACCCTCATATGATGGGTCACCAGGCCTTTCCTTCCTGTGCCCAGTGTTTCCTCCTCCATCTCCACCCAGTGCACAACACTTCCGCAGAGGCCTTAAGACCAAGCAGCTCTAAATGTACAGCTCTAAACTTTATCACATATGGCCTGGAACCCACAGGTCGTCATCAGCTCCTTAAGATTTCACACTACTATACAGATACATCTTCTTCTTTTTTTAAGAAAAAAAAGAGATGAATAAATGTGTCAGTTATTTCAGAAAGTGACGTATAGTTTATTATTTTTATTTTTTTACTTTTGACAAAAAAAAAATATTCTGAGTCCATGAGAATAGGTGTAGAGGTGTTTTTATGAGGAATATTATTGTGACAATAAATAAATAGTAAATTCTACAGTACATTAAATGGGTGAATGTGTTGATAGATTTGAAAACGTGGGTGTCAGTGAGAGCTATTGTATCACCTGCATGTACTGTATTCTTCGTGTAAATTATTAAATGTACAATTACTGTTTTGTTTGCTCCAAAGAAACATTTCTTAATGAAGTTAAAACACAAACAGAACAGGAGAAAAAAAATGAGGAAAAGGGGAAACAGAAATTAAGGTAATATTATTGTTTGTTTTTTGCATCTTGCCTTTTATTACGCCAATACATGTTTGTTTATTTTTATGCAATATATCTAATTTTGTAGCAAAGAGCAGCCAAAGGTGAATTTAAACGAGTTGGACAATGGTGTGCGCCAACTGGTGCTGGAAAAGGACAAAGAAATGCTTTCTCTAAGGGAGACTGTGGAGGTAGGAGCCATAATCACTGACATATGCAGTGCTCCGTGTGGTGCGTGTGTCATACGCTGCTTCAGCACTGACTAACAGTAACTTTTTCCCTCTTCTGTGGTAACACCTGCAAGCCAAGGAAGTATATTTATACGTTTCATTCTTTCATGTAGATTCTACAAGTCAAAGTCAGCAAACTCGAGCATTTGGTGCGACTGAAGGACTTAAGGATTGAAGAGCTCACACGACATCTGGACACATACAAGGCTAAAGGAAGTAACCCCAAATAAAGAAAACATACTCTCAATGAGTACTGTAAAACATTCAAAATGATAAATGAAAGGTCCCACCTCAGTTTGAAATGTGGACTGCCACAAAAAATATTCACTAGAGAAATGTTTTTTTCATTATACATTATGCACAAATCTCAGAATTCAGAAAGCTCAGAAGTTATTTCACCACTGACAAAGTATAATAAAATCTACTTTTAATACATTCAAAGAAGTAACATGTTTCATTTCCAGTTTTAGAATAGCAAATGAATGCAGTTACTTTCCCCTTTGCACTATCATCACCACTTCCCACTCTAAAATATCATCATTTCCTGGGCCACCTCTCTTCATGTGCAGAAATCTGAAAATACCAGCAGCTTGTCAATTACTTCACTTATCACTTCTATATAAAGTCAATGCCAATGAATGACATATACGTACAGCGGAAAGACATGTTTCCTCAGTTTTGAACTCATCTGATCTCATCTTTTAAGAAAAATGTGGCAGGAAGCGAAAGTGGCTCAGTTGGTAGAGCATTGGCCTTTGGGCCTGAAGTTTGTGGGTTCAAGCCCACCACGAGACCTACTTCATAACTCCCACTACTGTCGTTGTGTCCTTGGGCAAGACACTTAACCCCACTCTGCCTGAAGCCCCCACTGGAAGATCTCAGCTCCTGTGGACTCACCACCTGCAGGAGGATCAGTGAGGGGCTGGTGCTCTGTGGACTGGGTGGCATCTCTGACAGCCACCCCCCTGACCCAGAAATGGATTAAGGGGAAGAAAATGGATGGATGTGGCAGGAGACTTTACCAGAGAGTATTGGTGCTTCTACTTTGTTTATGGATAGAGATGCCTAAAAAGCCTCGTTTGGCCCATTATACTTTAGTCAATGTTCACATACCAACTAAACATTATTTTTTTCTTATTTACTGTTCTTAATTACTAAACAACATTTTAAAGAGGTGCTTCATCAATATTATTATATGATGAATTTAGGTGGGCTTTAATGTGGTCTCTATCTGTACTTCTTTTTACAATTTGTATATTACTTTCGTGGAAGATCACCTGATTTGGAATGCGTTCTTGTTTGCACAACAAAGCTAAATATATTTTGAGGATGCAATTAGTGTGCAAAATGTCTTGATTCAAAATATGGCTCCTTTCTCCACCCACACATATTGTGTAATGGAACTTCTCTAGATAATGTCAATAATGCTTACTATTGCAAATAATGTATTAACGCAGCATAGTTAGTGTCCAGAAGCTGGTTTCAGGTGGATCTGCTGAAATTACAGCTTGCAGTGAATGGAGCTGCAACAAACTCCAGTGCGGCCACACCTTACCTCCTAAGAAAATCACATGGAAATCACAAAAGGCAAAAAACATACTGTAGATCAATTGTATTAACTTGGAAATCGCTTGTAGCATAATGGGTTAATAGAAACAAGTGAATGGGCCAGGCTCACACATTAGCTAAGTATTCATGAGAAGCAGCCGTTGTTGAAGGTGCTGCCTGCTGCTGATGAATCATCACCAAATTCGCAGAGTTCTGGGTCAGTGTCCCACAAAAGAAGGAAAATTGTATTCATCCAGGAAAAGCAATGCATGAACATGACTTCACTTCCTGAGACTGGACCTGCACTCTCTAATCCACCAAACGAGCCTTGCTTATAGTAAATAAATGTTTTTAAAATGAATACATTTCCACTCACAAACATGCAGTGGGATCATATTTCTAACTGAGACAAGACAGAAGACAGTGAGGCTGAGTGAAGGGAGCGCAAAAACAAACACTGCCCCTTCCTTTTACAAACTCAAGAGGATGTTCATGTCTGCTCCCTTTGCAATTACATGTTGAATTAGAAACAGCTGTACAAACTGTTTCAGAGATGTACAGACTTTATTGGTATTAAATGTATTTGTAAAACACATGAATCTCTTGGGAGGGAAGTAGTGGGTTAATGCAGGTTTGGAATATCAGTGTGAATAGCACACTGCCACCAAACTAACAAAAGTACAAACACACCTTGAACACATTTTGTCATGTTTATAATCATAAACATACTTTTTTATTCAGATTTTTCTTGCTGAAAGTACACACAGATAAGCACAATAATAGAAATGTAGGGCATTCACATGTACAGTATTTTAAGGCCCAGTCCCAATACCCACACTGCACCCTACGCCCTCCTATGAAGTGTGCATTTGTTTGAAGTGCGCGCAAGGGTTTGAGTGCACAGGTTGCAAGCGTGCACAAAAGGCGGAATTGGGACAGTGCACACTGAGTGCAGGTTACGTCATCGACTCGTCAAGAGATGGTCATTTTCAGACCTAAACTTTGTCTGACCCTTTGGGAAACAAATTGAATTGCTTCACACACGTTAAAATACATGTATATTAGTGGTTTTTTAATTAGAGATAGCTGTATAATTTTAAGTTAAATGTGGGTAACTAACTATCTGGTCAGTTTTTATACATTCTAAGATTATTGTACTAAGTGTAAAGTTTAAATTGAATGTTATATGAACTCTTGCTTTAAAAAGTTATTAAATTGTTAAAACACAATGTCCGTAATTCTTCATCAGACGTTTATGCTTCTTTCCAAGTAACATAGAAAAACTTATTTACACACATACTGCATATATATTTCAAAATGTATATTTAAATGCATTTTCCCGACGTTTTGGTGTGTACCGCAAAGAATTATGGGCAATATCCTTCGCCAGAGTTCGCATAGATGCAGGCTACGGCGAAGTGTGGATCAGGGGCGCAAAGGGGGCGGGGCCAAAGACCTCCCTGGGACACCCTACGCACTCGCACCCTTTATCGGGAACGCGCAAATGAGGGGCGCGAGGGTGGAAGTGCGAGTATTGGGACGGGGCCTGTTAATACTATGGGTTCCAGCTGCGACCCCTTGCATGTGACGTCCCGGCCACGCCCACTCTCCATGACAAACGGCAGAAGTCTAACTGCGAGCCTACGGACACCTGACCAAAACAACCTGTTTCAGCGCATTGCAGCCACAACTGTGACATTTTGCAGTGCGGTTGATTATACTAACAGGCACGGACATAAGCTTTTTTATCTGATACCTGTTCGTCATGAAGACTGAAGACTACGATGGCCAGCGGCAATCAACCAAAAGGACTGGGACCTACTACTGTCCTGTATGTGCGCTGCAACATTGGACATTTTTATCTTTTAAGTCACTATTTTCCTCCGTCAGTACGTATCATGTTTGGCTGTAGACAGAAAGGCCACAGAAAAGTGGACTATTGCTAATGCTACCAGCAAAATGTACATATAAATCTGCTCCAGTGTGAGGGGATGCATTGTTAACGATAATGATAAAGATCATGTAGGGTGAATTTGGGAAAAAATAGACATTTCATTTAATCGATAAAATTGACTGGATGACGGGTCAACATCCAGTTAGGCAATCATTAACTTGACCTGATGTCCTACTTCCACCTATAACGTAATCGAACATGTGCTTGAAGCAGCCACTTCTCGATTTAGGAGAGGAAGCTCCGTTTTGCTCTCGCAGCAATGCTAGTTTCCAAAACTTCCGCCGTAAGTTCATTCACAATCACGTGACTGGATGACGTTGATGCATCTGGTCAATACTGTCTTGTATTTTGCTTCATTTTCATCAACTCTGCACTCTTCACTGTCCCTGCTGAAGAGTGTTATGGCAAGTTGGATTAGCCTCAAGGACGCCAACTCACCCCCCGCTGTTCTATTCAATTAACCTGCAGGAAGGAACCGGTCTCCCCCCCGCACCGACAGACATGACGCAAATTACTATCTCACCTTTGCCCCTTTTGCATTTTGCATCTCTATCGGTCCGTATGTCTGCATCTCTATTGTCCCTTTTACATTCTGCATGTCTATTGTCCCTTCTGTTGCATCTCTCACCAGGCAAGGCGCCTCGCCATCTGGATGCCCGTCTCAAACTGTGACCCCTCCCATCTTTTGTGGGCGTGACTGTCTTTCATGTGTTGTCTATGTAAACGGGGACCTGTGTCTGGCCCCGCCAGAACTGATGTACGCTGCTTTGTGTATGTGAGTTCTCCGCACGTGTGTTACAATAAACTTACGCTCCTGATTAAGACAAATACCTTTCGAGCTTCTTCCTTACTGTGGATAGAAACTCCCACAACAATTTGGCGTTGCTGACATGTCTTGGCCTGGGTTTTTTCGGCGGGGACGAGCGGGTGCGTTCGGCCGACCTGGAACAAAACCAGCCTCTGCTCTATTTGGAGACGAAAGGAGGGCGCGCTCGTCCGGCGCATGAAAAGGATCTTTGGCCACACAAGACCAAAAAGAACCTGATTTGGTGAGTTTTGTCTTTTCATTTGCGTAACAAGCCCAGGGCAGCCCTTAAGTGTACACTATATAAGTTATATATATGTTAGATATAAGTTATATATATGTTAGATATAAGTTATATATATGTTAGATATAAGTTATATATATGTTAGATATAAGTTATATATATGTTAGATATAAGTTATATATATGTTAGATATAAGTTATATATATGTTAGATATAGTTATATATATGTTAGATATAAGTTATATATATGTTAGATATATTTATATATATGTTAGGTATAAGTTATATATATGTTAGTTAGGTATAAGTTATATATATGTTAGATATAAGTTATATATATGTTAGATATAAGTTATATATATGTTAGATATAAGTTATATATATGTTAGATATAAGTTATATAGCGTATCTGTTTCCTAAGTCGGACACTTCGGGCTTAAAAAAGGCACCGGTTACCCACTTCAACGGGCTATAAAAACATAAACTTAACTAGCATAAAACGGAAGTTAAAAGTGTTAGCTTTCGAACGATATATATGAATAATACCTTATTTAAATGTGGTTTTCTATATGCTGTTGAAAAGACCAAAAACATCGATGTTTTGTCTGGAACTATTATCCTGAGTCTCCTCAGTTCCAGAGTTTGTACAGATTCCACTCGAATAGATCCGTGGTTCCAT